CCTTCACCCCCCCACCCTGCCTTCCTTCACCCCCCACCCTGCCTTCCTTCACCCCCCCCCCCACCCTGCCTTCCTTCACCACCCCCCCACCCTGCCTTCCTTCACCCCCCACCCTGCCTTCCTTCACCCCCCCACCCTGCCTTCCTTCACCACCCACCACCCCTCACCGCCCCCCACCCGCCCCCACCCACCACCCCTCACCGCCCCCCCCCACCACCCTCACCGCCCCCACCCACCACCCCTCACCGCCCCCACCCACCACCCCTCACCGCCCCCCACCCACCACCCCTCACCGCCCCCCACGCCCCCACCGACCACCCCTCACCGCCCCCCACCCACCACCCCTCACCGCCCCCCCACCCACCACCCCTCACCGCCCCCCACGCCCCCACCCACCACCCCTCACCGCCCCCACCCACCACCCCTCACCGCCCCCACCCACCACCCCTCACCGCCCCCACCCACCACCCCTCACCGCCCCCCACACCCCCACCACCCCTCACCGCCCCCCACCCACCACCCCTCACCGCCCCCCACGCCCCCACCGACCACCCCTCACCGCCCCCCACCCACCACCCCTCACCGCCCCCCACGCCCCCGCCCACCACCCCTCACCGCCCCCCACCCACCACCCCTCACCGCCCCCCACCCACCACCCCTCACCGCCCCCCACCCACCACCCCTCACCGCCCCCCACCCACCACCCCTCACCGCCCCCCACGCCCCCGCCCACCACCCCTCACCGCCCCCCACCCACCACCCCTCACCGCCCCCCACCCACCACCCCTCACCGCCCCCCACCCACCACCCCTCACCGCCCCCACCCACCACCCCTCACCGCCCCCACCCACCACCCCTCACCGCCCCCCACCCACCACCCCTCACCGCCCCCCACCCACCACCCCTCACCGCCCCCACCCACCACCCCTCACCGCCCCCCACCCACCACCCCTCACCGCCCCCCACCCACCACCCCTCACCGCCCCCCGCCCACCACCCTTGTTATAACCCCCACCTGCTCGCCTCCCAACTTGTTACCTCTCAAGACGAGTGTTGAGTGAGTCAGCGCTCACAATGCCCGGGTAATGTTTCACAGCTTCACACACAGTTCCACCACACACATATCTATCTTGGCTACACCATTTGAGCAGTAGTTTTGGCGTGGATAATAGACGCGGACATGATTAGGAGTGAGGTGGGAGTGTGGAGGTGGTGACGGAAGCGGAGAGCGGGCCAGGGAGCCCTCCTGACGGCGGGCCAACACTGCCTCACTGCCTGACGGCGGGCCAAGACCCGCGGCCTGAGAGCCATCAAATTGCCTTTGTCCCGGGTGGAGAGGCATCGTACCTCGGCCAGGGTGGAGGCCCGCACAGCAAATGATAATCAGTGAACAGGTGTGGCCCGCATGCTGACCTCCAGACCTGCCTGGTGGCGTGGAGCACCGCCTCCACCTGCCCCTGCCTCCAACACTGCCCCTCCACCACCACCACCTGCCCCAGTCTCCTACACTCCCCACCACCACCACCTGCCCCTGCCTCCAACACTGCCACTCCACCACCACCACCTGCCCCAGCCTAAAACACTCCCCACCACCACCTGCCCCAGCCTCCAACACACTCCACCACCACCTGCCCCAGCCTCCAACACTCCACCACCACCTGCCCCAGCCTAAAACACTCTCCACCACCACCTGCCCCAGCCTCCAACACTCCACCACCACCTGCCCCAGCCTCCAACACTCTCCACCACCATCTGCCCCAGCCTCCAACACTCCACCACCACCTGCCCCAGCCTCCAACACTCCAACACCACCTGCCCCAGCCTGCAACACTTTCCACCACCACCTGCCCCAGCCTCCAACACTCCACCACCACCTGCCCCAGCCTCCAACACTCTCCACCACCACCTGCCCCAGCCTCCAACACTCCACCACCACCTGCCCCAGCCTCCAACACTCTCCACCACCACCTGCCCCAGCCTAAAACACTCCCCACCACCACCTGCCCCAGCCTCCAACACACTCCACCACCACCTGCCCCAGCCTCCAACACTCCAACACCACCTGCCCCAGCCTCCAACACTCTCCACCACCACCTGCCCCAGCCTCTAACACACTCCACCACCACCTGCCCCAGCCTCCAACACTCCAACACCACCTGCCCCAGCCTGCAACACTTTCCACCACCACCTGCCCCAGCCTCCAACACTCCACCACCACCTGCCCCAGCCTCCAACACTCTCCACCACCACCTGCCCCAGCCTAAAACACTCCCCACCACCACCTGCCCCAGCCTCCAACACACTCCACCACCACCTGCCCCAGCCTCCAACACTCCAACACCACCTGCCCCAGCCTCCAACACTCTCCACCACCACCTGCCCCAGCCTCCAACACACTCCACCACCACCTGCCCCAGCCTCCAACACTCCAACACCACCTGCCCCAGCCTGCAACACTTTCCACCACCACCTGCCCCAGCCTCCAACACTCCACCACCACCTGCCCCAGCCTCCAACACTCCACCATCACCTGCCCCAGCCTGCAACACTCTCCACCACCACCTGCCCCAGCCTGCAACACTCCACCACCACCTGCCCCAGCCTGCAACACTCCACCACCACCTGCCCCAGCCTCCAACACTCCAACACCACCTGCCCCAGCCTGCAACACTTTCCACCACCACCTGCCCCAGCCTCCAACACTCCACCACCACCTGCCCCAGCCTCCAACACTCTCCACCACCACCTGCCCCAGCCTCCAACACTCTCCACCACCACCTGCCCCAGCCTCCAACACTCTCCACCACCACCATTTAAACACATGTATACTCTACGCGTTTTGCAGTAAGAGAAATGCACAAGCTCTGAACCTTCCTAATATTTCCAAATATTACTGAAAAATATTTAATATTTAAAGTTTGAGGAAGAAGGTGGACGCCTGCGTCTCCCCACCGTGTAAGGAACGGTACAAGAGGCAATAAATAACACAGATACTAAACTTAACGATTTTTTTGCTCAAGCAGAGTTTCCTTTCCGGGCGGGACTCAGGAGATAGCTTCAGGTAAATCTTTTGATATTTAGTGAGCGCTTCTTCTGGGTTCTCCAAACGGGCTATAATTTATACTTTTACCCCCTTCCCCTAATCCCGCATGAGAGAGGGGGTTGAGCTTCAGCTTCTGGGCCACGCCTCCTCACCATTTATCGACGTGTCGTCCATCGGTGAATTGGTTTTTTTAGTTGTTTAAATCCGCATATGGAATTCGACCTCCACTACATCACTCACAGCAGTGGTTCTCCTAATATATTGCTGGGGGTATATGGGTGCTACCTGCCTCTTAGTATCTTGTATGCCGTAATCATTTGCAGTCATGTCTTCAGTAATGTGTGGTTGCTCACTCTAAAGCGAGGGCATGATGGGTTTTCATCATGATAAAACCATATTTTCCAGAGCAAAGCTTTCATAAGGCTGGACACTGTTTTATGTGCTGTGTGCGTTCATATGTCAACAACAACCTTATTGACCAAGTTTGAAAAGTTTATATTGCTTTCAAAGCAATATCTAAGTGACGTGACACTCAGCACTGTAGTTTGACACTCAGCACTGTAGTTTGACACTCAGCACTGTAGTTTGACACTCAGCACTGTAGTTTGACACTCAGCACTGTAGTTTGACATTCGGCACTGTAGCCTGACACTCAGCACTGTAGTTTGACACTCAGCACTGTAGCCTGACACCACCTGGCCATATCTTTGGTGAGTCCAATACCTCAGATATCGCTGACTTGTATCCCTGTGTTCTGGGCCGGACGTCCTCCGTGATATTTAGCGACCTGTTGAATATCCGGCTACACTGATAGCACTGGGAAGGGGTCAGGATAAGGCTTTGGGATGGGACGGGGGAAAGGAATGGTGGCCAACCACTTGAACGGTCGGGGATTGAACGCCGACCTGCATGACGCGAGCCCGTCGCTCTACCGTCCAGCCCAAGTGGCTGGGCCAAGTGGGGAAAGGAGTTGAAGACCCAAGACAGGTCAAACACGCATCTCACGTCCAAACCCTTGCAACAATCCTTCTACGCATATATATTTTCCTTGCAACTTCCTTGCACAACCGACATCATGGGATTCGGCGTGCAAGCGAAGACTTCTTCCTTGCCTGCCCCGCACTGCATTCACCGCGACACGCTGCTCTTCCTCCTCGTGTCGATTTGCATACTTTACGCCCTCGGTGTGTGGGGATGCAAACGGCGTCTTGGGAAAATGATTTATTTTGCAATGTGTCTGGTGTGAACAAGTCTCGCCCCAACACAATAATATATTAGAGTAACTTGTAAACGGGTTCAGTGTTTGCTTGTGGTGGACACCCGTTTGTAGTGTACCAGTTACAGCCGCATGTGTGTGATTGGCGCCAGGTGGAGACATACAGGGGCTTGTGGCATGTGATTGGCGCCAGGTGGAGACATACAGGGGCTTGTGGCATGTGATTGGCGCCAGGTGGAGACATACAGGGGCTTGTGGCATGTGATTGGCGCCAGGTGGAGACATACAGGGGCTTGTGGCATGTGATTGGCGCCAGGTGGAGACATACAGGGGCTTGTGACATGTGACTGGCGCCAGGTGGAGACATACAGGGGCTTGTGGCATGTGACTGGCGCCAGGTGGAGACATACAGGGGCTTGTGACATGAAGCATTTGTAGGAGGAGGAGGACGGAGTACTCCTACTTCTAGGTGTATATACACCAAGAGTTACTGTGATAGCCTTAATAACCCTCCAAAATCGATGCTCTTTTGTTATTGTGTATTTCCCTTAGAGGCGGGTGTAAGACCTGAGAAAAATATGTATCCTCTCACGTCATCGCTACTTTATAAACAAAGCTAAACTTTACCCAACCCAGATAACATAGATGGTGTGACGTCATTATGGCGTCACAGTGTTCATGCCGGTACAGGATATAGACCCCTATGTTGACGACTGTTTCTCCCCACTTTCTTTGCCACAGCTTCTGCGTCCTGCGCCGCCCTGCTCTGTGACCAACACTGCCTCTTGAGTGCTGACGGCGGGCCCTCCTGTGGCTGCAGGGAGGGATACGTCCTTGTCAGGACCACACACTGCCATCCCACCTGTGCTGTGAGTACAAGTCTTCTCCTCTGTGGGTACATGTCTCTCCTCTGTGAGTACACGCCTTCTCTGTGAGTGCAAGTCTCCTCTGTGAGTACACGTCTTCTCTGTGAGTACAAGTCTCCTCTGTGAGTGCAAGTCTCCTCTGTGAATAAAAGTCTTCTCTGTTAGTATGTCTTTTCACTGTACGAAAGGATAAACATGTACGAGACTGGACGAAAGGGACATTACGTACCACACTGGACAAATGGGACATTACCGGAATTTACCTGAGGGGCAACTTTTTCTCTAATGGTTTCGACGAGCACAGGAAGCCGGTGGCTTGTCAAAGGTCCCCCTATATGCCCTGATAATTTTATCCAGTTGGATTTGCAAGCTTAACAGTTTTTTTGCCATTTACGACTTCGGCAGGTAGGCGGTTCCATGGGTTTATAGCACTGTGGGTGAAACAGCATCTACTGTTTTTAGTCCTAAACTGTGGCTTGCTGAGCTTGAAATTGTTGTTCCTTGTTTGTGTTACATCTGACCTTTTCAGTAAGTTGTCTAGACAAGTATCCTCCAATTTGTTTAATATTTAAACGCATTCCATTAGATCCGCCCAGTCATGCCTGGTTAGTTGTGTCAGCCCAGTGGCCCCTCCACCGTTCCTGGTACGAGAGGTGACTTAGTATTTATTTATTTATTTATGGATATACAAGAAGGTACATTGGGATTGTGAGGATACATAATATGGTAATTACAATCTTGTAAAGCCATTAGTACGCGCAGCGTTTCGGGCAGAAACTTTCTGAGGGGGGGGGGCAGAAACAGTTCTGTGGGGATGAGTTTTGTTGCTGCACTTTCTCAAGAGCAGCTATGTCCTTGTGGTCATCTGCAATTTTGAAGATGTTGTTTGTAATATTTTCATCTATGTCGTTGATGTGTATGACACAATGGGTCGGCCCAAGAAAGGACCCTTGTGGTACCCCACTTCCTACATTTCCCCAGTCAGATTCATTTCCGTTTAGGACGACCCTTTGCTGTTTGTGTTTTAACCTTTGTTTTATCCATTCCAGTATTCTCCCATTTATTCCACGTGCCTGTAATTTCCTTGCCAGTCTCTCATCTGGATGACATGAGAGACCGTCTCTCTTGTCAAAACCTTTAGGAAAGTCCATGATGTATACTACATCTTCCGGAAGTCTTTTGTCTGAATAGCTGGTTACCGTTTCTAAGAATGTGAGCAGGTTAGTAAGCCAGGATTTGTTTTGAACTCAGGTTGCGCTGATTTTATTAGATTGTTCACTGTGAGATGGTGAATGATTTCCTCCCTTAGGAATCACTCCATGAGCTTAAAGATGTGTGAAGTCAAAGTGATTGGACCGTGGTATGGACATGTTGAAGGAATGGACGCTGTAGGCAGGTGAAGATAATGTATTCCAGTTGAGAATAAGAGTTGGAGATGGTGTGTGGAGAACGGTGGAAGAGGGTCAAGGCTGGCTGGAAACTTTGGATATGAAGGGAGTGTATATATACACATCAACTACATGTGACAATTGACAAGCGAAGTAGTAGGTTTGTTCCTGTGAATAATTTCCCAAATTGACAAATTACATTTTTTGTTAAATCTGTTAATATTACATGTGTAACCTCCTGTCATTGTATGATTTACCTGTTTCTGTACTGATACCTACCACCCAAGGGAACTGTAAACTGGGTAATGGTAAAGTACGTAAGCACTTTATTGTAAACTAGCGCACATGGAATAGTGGGAAAGTGTAGATAATGAGTGCGTGTAGGGAAAATAATGGGAAAGTGTAGATAACGTAGAAAGGTAGATAATGAGTGCGTGTAGGGAAAATAATGGAAAAGTGTAGATAATGTAGAAAGGTAGATAATGAGTGCGTGTGTGTACACAGGTTGGCAACGGTGGGTGTCAACACAAGTGCCAGCAGGGGCCCACCGCCCCCTCCTGCACCTGTCATCCCCAGTACCTCCTCGCCGCTGACGGACACTCCTGTATCCGTGAGTACTCTCATGTGTCCTTCGCGACTCTCATGTGTCCATGAGTACTCGCATGTGTCCGTGAGTACTCTCGTGTGTTCGTGAGTACTCTCATGTATCCAGTACCTTACTCTCCGCCCCCAGTAGCTGCCTGCTTATCTGCTCCCAGTACCTGCTTCTCTACCCAGCAGTAACTGCTCTTTCACCAGCTGCTGAGTTAGTTCTTTATTATGTTCTCTTGCACCCAGTCATATTCCTACAGGCAGCTTGGTGTATTTATCATGGGAATATAAAATATAGCCGCGGTCTGCCATTACGTCTGTCAACATAGGTATCTGGAACATTATGTATCATTCATTTCATGTTTAATATATTAGTAGCATGACAGGTGTTTGTGGTCAGTATAACATGTTCCTCTCCTGCCACAGGCGTACACCTGTTCACTCCAGTCACACCTGGAGTTGTGTTTGTTAATAACACAAAATACAGTGCTACAAAGTCATCCTGGCTTGGTGCCCCTACTTTTGATAATTACTTACTTTCAGAGTTTTGTTTTGTAATTGTAATAATTTAGTGGCATGCGTTTATTAGCAAATAATGAGCTAGCAAGTCTTGTTCATTACGTAATTTATGTCTGAGGAAGCATAGTTTATCAAATATAATTTGCAGGCGATGAGTCACAATAACGTGGCTGAAGTATGTGGACCAGACCACACACTAGAAGGTGAAGGGACGACGACGTTTCGGTCCGTCCTGGACCATTCACAATCGACTTGAGAATGGTCCAGGACGGACCGAAACGTCGTCGTTCCTTCACCTTCTAGCCTGTGGTCTGGTCAACAAATATAATTTGGCATGATGTTAATAAGTGTTGTGTGTGTGTGGTGCGGTCAGCGTCGTGCGCCATCAACAATGGCGGGTGTGAGCGTTCCTGTCACAACACAGCCACAGGTGTCCACTGCTCCTGTCCCAGGGGCTTCCACCTCCACCACGACCAACGCACCTGTCTTGGTGAGTACCCCCACTCTCTCTCTTCACCACATAAGAATAATATTACCTGCAGAAGACCTATATTAGCCCATGCTAGGCAGCTCCTATTTATAACCACCCAATCCCACTCATATACATGTCCAACCCACGTTTGAAACACTCGAGGGACCCCCGCCTCCACCACGTTACGCGGTAATTGGTTTCACAGTCTTACCTCTTACACATTTGTCCATGCCCCTGCTGCTTTGTCGGTTATGGTGCTGCCTAGTATGAGCCAGTAGTAGGTCTTCTCCTCTTTCCTTCAGTCTTATATTATTTACTCTCATCAATGTCACCAACTAGCCGCGGGGTTAGTGGCCCGAAACGTTATATGCGTGTTAGTGGATTTGCAAGAATGTAAAAATATCAATATTATGTAATCTCACAAACCCATTGTACCTATTTATAAATAAATTTATTATTATTATTATTATTATTATTATTATTATTATTATTATTATTATTATTATTATTATTATTAGTAGTAGTAGTAGTAGTAGTGTGTGGAGATAAGGACTTATTTTGTTCAACATTAGGTCCAAGTTAAGAGTACCTGTTGCGGCATTGGGGAAAAATAGAAGAATTTGACAAGGGTTATTTGAGAGTGAAAATAAAAATATAGATACTAAGCCTTGGGAGAAACCTGGACTGTACCAAATTTAGATGCCTTATTCACATAACGAGGCAAGTAATGACAACCTCAAGAACCTGGCCAAAGACTGAAGTGACATTGATTTATTGTATGTATTTCAGTTTAAGATGAAGGAATGATTACAATGTTGATGAATAATGTTTGGGCTCCATATAAATTGGAAACACAGGACAGAGCATCCCCCAAAATTATTGACAATATTGTAGTGAAGAATGTCCATTATTATCCAGACATTTATGACTCTTCAAGTTGTGTCTACTTCTTCAAGAGCCACAGTACTCAGTAACCCCATGCGTTCCCCTCAAGAGCCACAGTACTCAGTAACCCCATGCGTTCCCCTTCAAGAGCCACAGTACTCAGTAACCCCATCCATTTCCCTCAAGAGCCACAGTACTCAGCAACCCCATCCGTTTCCCTCAAGAGCCACAGTACTCAGTACAGAATGGCACCAATGCGTTCCCCTTCAAGAGCCACAGTACTCAGTAACCCCATGCGTTCCCCTTCAAGAGCTACAGTACTCAGTAACCCCATGCGTTCCCCTTCAAGAGCCACAGTACTCAGTAACCCCACCCATTTCCCTCAAGAGCCACAGTACTCAGTAACCCCATCCATTTCCCTCAAGAGCCACAGTACTCAGTAACCCCATCCATTCTCCTCAAGAGCCACAGTACTCAGCAACCCCATCCATTCCCCTTCAAGAGCCACAGTACTCAGTAACCCCATCCATTTCCCTCAAGAGCCACAGTACTCAGTAACCCCATCCATTTCCCTCAAGAGCCACAGTACTCAGTAACCCCATCCATTTCCCTCACGAGCCACAGTACTCAGTAACCCCATCCATTTCCCTCAAGAGCCACAGTACTCAGCAACCCCATCCATTTCCCTCAAGAGCCACAGTACTCAGCAACCCCATCCATTCTCCTCAAGAGCCACAGTACTCAGCAACCCCATCCATTCTCCTCAAGAGCCACAGTACTCAGCAACCCCATCCATTTCCCTCAAGAGCCACAGTACTCAGCAAGCCCCATCTATTCCTACCAAAAAGCAGCCTACATACATACTGGACCCCAGCCCCTGCCCAACACAGGATTACCCACTAGGTCAAGTAGGGTATGGCCTAGGGCCCACCTGTGCATTTATTTTTTTTCCTTAAAAATGGACAAATATCAAATAACACTTTTGAGTAATCAATTACAGTTCTTGATTACAGTTCTTACAATTACACTGACCAGAGAGTGGGCCCCATTTAGTTGTTTTGCACTAGTGGCCAAAAGCAGTTAGATCTAGCCCTGCCCCTGTCAAGAACTAGCCTACAGAGCACCAATCAAGTCTCCTAACCCCATGCCAAGCCCTGTTCCCTCAGACGTAGACGAGTGTTCTGGGAATGGAAGTGGGTGTGAGCATCGCTGCATCAACAACCACGGCAGCTACGAGTGTGTGTGTCCCACGGGATTCAAGCTGCAGCCAGACGAGCGCTCGTGCCAAGATGTGAATGAGTGTGCAGTGGACGGGACGTGCGAACACTTCTGCACGAATACTCCAGGCTCGTACCACTGCTCGTGTGATGTCGGCTACCAGTTGTTTGCTTGGACCCACTGTGGAGGTAAGGCTCGCTGAATCCTTGGTTCCTATAGTACAGTGGTCTATGTTATCTACTCACAGTTGAAGATTCTGGGTTTGTTTCCCGGGCAGAACAGAAATGGTTGGGCACGATTCCTTTCCTTCGTCCGATCCTCGTATCCCTTCCAAATACTACATATATGTAGTGGCTTAGTGCTTTCTCCTAATAATTAATTTACCTTACCATTTCTTTTCACTTGATGCTTCTGTTCACATAGTAGTAAATAAATTAGGCAACTGTAGCATGCTGCAGTCTGGAGGTCAGTTGTTGACCTAGTTTACCTATCTGCCATGCTGTAGCATGGCTGCAGTCACACAGTGAACTCAGGAACACAACTGGTTAAGGTACACTAAGAGATGGTGCAGATTTTTTTTACAGAATGGTACATAAAGAGAATATTAGCTGAAAAAGTTTCAAGAGGAGTGCCGAGAATAAGTCACAAAAACATGACTGAGAACAATATCCCACCCAAGCTAATGGAACATAACTATTAGGAGAAAGTTTGTTTAGTTTGCTAACTGTAGGTAGTAACTAAGTGATTGTAACCAATCCACCGCTGCCTACTGGATGGGGGGCGGTGTGCAGGACAAGCATATCAATTGTGACACTACCTCTCCATATTATGTCAGTTGCTTAATTTGGAAACTGTACTTGTGGTCGATCGACCATTGATGATGTGACGACTTATACTGAATTTTGAAACTAGCTCATCAAGATTGTAACTTGTTTAGCTATATGAATTATGGAGTTCAATCCCTGAGCCCATTATGTGCCTCTGTAACCCTTTCCACTACTGCCCACAAGATGGTTATGGGGTGCATAATAAATGAACTAAACTAACTAACCTTGGACCCTTATTAAGTGGTCATAAAGAACATTTAAACTTAGTGGTTATGAGTTACAACAGATAAAGTTTTCAGCTACAGTTAACATGATCTTGCACACACTATATTGACCTGGGCCACCATCTCTCTAGTGGCCATAAAGAGGACAGTAAGTGGTGGCTTGTCAAAGATTTGACACTCCCCGTCCCCCTTATGTTTTCTGATGATGATTTTTTCCAGCTGGAGTTTGAACTACAGGAAGGTCTTGGCATTTATGACTTCGGCAGGTAGGCAGTTCACCCTATGAGTGAAAAAGCATCTCCTGTTTTCCGTCCTACATTGTAGCATGTTGAGGTGAACACACTGCTCCTTATATAAGTTATGTTTGATCTTTTAAACAAAATGGACTGAATATCAGTGTCCTCTGGCTTGTTCAGTACAGTATTTTAAAAGTTTCAATAAGATGAACCCTGTCATGTCTGGTTTGCAGTGTTCTTAGCCCTGAGGCCCTCACGCGTTCCTGCTATGAGAGTCAACTTAGTTCTGGGATGATTTTTGTTGCTAGGTATTGAACTTAATCCAAAGTAGATATAGCCTCAAAATAGTCTCCGTGGTTTGATGCAATAGTCCAAATGGGGACATACTGGAGACTTGTATACTTGAATAACCACTTTCTCTTCCTTGAAGTCAAAGGTTCATTTGACTATTCGTAGGGTTTGGTTGGCTTTTGTTGCAATCAGCAAGTGGGAGCTGACTGCAGCTCTCACTTGTGTGATTTTATTGACTGGTGGATTCTGACTCCTAGGCCCTTTTTTTTTTTTAGGAACTGCCTGGTATGAACCAATAGGACTTGCCATTTCCTTTATCCATATCTTATGTTCTTACCTGAATTTACCTGAGGGGGGTCATCATCTATTTACTGGCCATGACAGACAGGAAGCCAGTGGCTTGTCGACCAAACCACACACAATAGAAATTGAAGAGACAACGACGTTTTGGTCCATCCTGGACCATTATTAAGTTGATTGTGATGAGGCGAAGGAAGCCAGTGGCGTGTCAAATGTCCCCTCAATATTTTCTTACAGTAAGCAAACCTAGAACACTTGGCTAAGATTTGGGTAATCCATAATTTGTAATGAAATACTTGGCCCTTTTCTTAAACATTAACAATATGAGTTTGTCTCTAAAATTTGTTGACTTTTTACAAATAATTTAAATAATTATCTTTACAAATAATTAAATAATTCTATGGCATAGGATATGCAAAATTGTTGACAGTTTGTGATGTTGGGTAAGCAGTTTTGCTGACAGTTTATAATGTAGGGTCAGCAGTTTAGTTGATAGTTTGTGATGTAGGGTGATCAGTTTTGCTGACAGTTCTCAGTGTGGGGTGAGTAGTTTTGCTGCAATGTTGTGAGTAAATATTCAGTCATACTGGCTGAGCTCATATCTCTGATAATTAATTACCTTATCCAAAACTAATTAATATAAACCCAAAATATACATTATGTGATGTATTGTCTTCCCTGACCTATCTTACTCACCCACCAGATATGAATGAGTGTAGCATCAACAACGGTGGATGTAGCCAGATTTGTGTCAACACGGATGGTTCGTATTACTGCGGGTGTAGGGACGGCTACAGCCTTCATGCCAACAGGAAGGACTGCCTTCCCACTAACAAATGCACTCCCTTCAGGAACCCAACCAAGGCTGAGGTATGTGTATTATAACTTTTGATTTACTAACCCAACCACTTGGACCAGTTTGTACAGTACTGTTGGCTTTGCAGAAAGTTCAACACTGAGCAACAAAAATCATTCTTAAACTAATAATGCTTCACTAGAAAGAAACTAGAAAACCTAGAAACTAAGAACTCCGAGGGCCTCAGAGCTAACATCACTGCAAGCCACATATAACAGGGCTAATCTCATCAAAACTTTTAAAATGCTGAACAGTTTGGGGAATATTGATCTGGACACCTTTAAAAGGTCAAATGTAACACAGACAAGGAGAAATGGTTTCAAGCTCAACAAGCCACAATATAGGCCAAAAAGCAGGAGATGCATTTTCACCCATAAGGTTATAAACCCATGTTCTTTCATTCTCTAGACACCAGGCAATGTTCATACTCTAGGCATCATGAAAGCTTACAAGTTTTAACACTTGTTATATTTATACTCTAGGTGTCATGTTACCATCTAGAAGACTACAGCTATGAGGAGAGGTGCACAGTGAGGTGTCGTGAGGGGGCTGCCTTCACGTCTGGGTCTGCCAACTACTACGTGTTTACCTGTGGTCGACATACAGACTTCACCTGGAGAGCTGACCCTGATGTTCTCAATACCTCTTATCTCTCCTGCTCAGGTAAGGGGTTAATCCCAATTTTTAAATCCAACAGAGTTTTGTATTTTTTTTGTTTTATAACGACTGCAAAAGCATTAGGCTAGTGTAATATAAGAACCTTGCATAATGAAATATAATATCCAAATACAGTACTGTACTGTATCATTTTTTATTAATCATGAAAATAAATTTTTGATTTTCACTTTATTGTTTATGATAAGATTTTGTATTTTGCCTTCCCTGTAATTTATTTATTTATTTATTTATTTATTTATTTATTTATTTATTTATTTATTTATTTATTTATTTATTTATATATATATATATACAAGAAGGTACATTGGGTTTGTGAGAATACATTGGATAGTACAGTATTTACATTCTTGTAAAGCCACTAGTACGCGCAGCGTTTCGGGCAGGTCCTTAATCTAGCAGATAATTTTAAGTAGGTAATTTCAATCAGAATTGATAAATGAAAGATACATTACAAGAGAAAAATGAGATGAGAGAGATAAGTAAGTATATTAAAGCACATTGTTATATTAAAGCTCTGATTGATTACATTGACAGCTTGATTAGTAATTTAAACAAGATTAATAGACACCATACAGCAGATTGACAGCACATATAAGACAGCAATGATCACAATGGTAAAGATGTTCAGAATGGGTACATAAAGATTGGGAGACTGGGTAGCAAAAGATACAGATAAACAAGATTTATAAACACCATACAATAGAATGGCAGCACATATAAGAAAACAGCAATGATCTCAATGGTAAAAATGTTCAAATTGGGAACATAAAGGTTGGGAGATTGGGTAGCAATAGATACAGTGCAATTTTAAGGCAAAAAGTGAAAAACTATGAAGATGAAATTAGGTACTTTTTAGTATTGATTTTGAATGATGTAAAAGTTGGACAGCTTTTCAATTCAGTAGGGAGTGAGTTCCATAAACTGGGTCCCTTTATTTGCATAGAGTGTTTACACAAATTAAGTTTAACTCTGGGGATATCGAAGAGATATTTATTTCTGGTGTGGTGATAATGGGTCCTATTACATCTGTCCAGGAAGAGTTTCAGACAAGGATTTGCATTTAAGAACAGGGTTTTGTAAATGTAGTTGACACAAGAGAATTTGTGGAGTGAGATTATGTTTAGCATGTTTAGGGAGTTAAACAAGGGGGCTGTGTGTTGTCTGAAAGCAGAATTTGATATTATTCTGATAGCAGATTTTTGCTGGGTGATGATGGACTTGAGGTGGTTTGCAGTGGTTGAACCCCATGCACAGATAGGGATAGTAGAGATAGTTGCACATAGTTGAGATAGGGATAGATTAGTGCATAATATAGAGAGATGAGAGCAGAGTTAGGAACATAATATCTGATTTTGGAGAGTATACCAACTGTTTTAGAGACTTTCTTAGTTATGTGTTGTATGTGGGTACTGAAGTTGAGTCTCTTGTCTAGGAATATGCCAAGAAACTATGCCAAGTAATATTTACTTGGAGATTGGAGGATTAGGTATACAACCTCATACTGACTTAAAAACATTACTCTGTAGTATAGAAAGTATATATAGCCCAACTCAAAGATACCTTGCTCTCAAGTTACTGTTTTAATCTTTGGGCCACTAAGAATACTTACAGGAGATTTTCTGTTATTAGACATACACTTTAGACAATTTTTTGTTTTCTTAGATATATATGAGTACAACATTCTTGTACAGCCACTAGTATGCGTAGCGTTTCGGGCAAGTCCTTAATCCTATGGTCCCTGGAATACGATCCCCACGGAATTGTTTTTACAACCAAGTACCGCCCACGGGATGGGTATGGGGTTCATAATAAATGAACTAAACTAAACTTACTGTTGAGTTAAACAGAGGCTACAGTTAAGGATTTACAACCAGAAAACCTTCCCAGCCAGGATACTAACCCAGGACAAAGCGCTCGCGGAACGTCAGGCGAGCGTCTTACCACTACACCATGGGGAGACTGGTGGTGAACATTAGTCAGTTCCATTTATGAATTCTTGAGACCATCACTAACAAAGCTATTTGTTACTGATGGTCTCAAAATAGCAAAAGCTATTTCAGCTTTCACTAGTGACAATAAAGGTAATTTATTCAAAATCATTGCCAGCTTATTACTCGTACTCACCTGACAATGCTAATAAACAGTGAAGTAATGGCACCGAATAAAATTTAGTTCTATTTATGAATTCTTGAGATCATAATTATAATAATAATAATAATAATAATAATATAATAATTTTTATTTAGGTAAAGGTACATACATAAAGAGATTTTACAAAGTTTGTTGGCTTTATAGATAGAGCTAGTACATACAATGCCTAAAGCCACTATTACGCAAAGCGTTTCGGGCAGGAAAAAACACTAATGACTAAAGCTTAAAACTAATGGGTAAAAAGAATAAAATGTGTTGAGTACAAATAAAAATAGAGGTAAAAGAGGGGGGAACATTGTTGAAAAAGCAGCACAAATATAATTACAAATTATTCCAGAAAATTACATTCAAACAGCGTTGAATTGAAAAAAAAAAAAAATAAAAAAAAAATAAAAAACATACATGGGTTGACAACAGAGGGGTAAGGTAGGTTACAGGGAATTTATTAGGTATAGCTTCGTTTTTAACTTAAACTGGTTGAGAGAGGTACAGTCTTTAACATGGTTGGGAAGGTCATTCCACATTCTGGGCCCCTTGATTTGTAGAGCATTTCTGGTTTGATTAAGTCGTACTCTAGGAATATCAAAACTGTATATATTTCTGGTGTGGTGCTCATGGGTTCTGTTACAACCTTCTATGAAGCTTTTGAGATCAGGATTGGCATTATAGTTTAGCGTTTTATATATGTATAATACACATGAGAGAATGTGCAGTGACTTAATGTCTAACATATTCAGAGATTTGAGTAGGGGTACCGAGTGATGTCTGGGGCCAGAATTGGATATTGTCCTTATAGCAGCTTTGTGTTGAGTAATTAGAGGACGTAAGTGATTTTGGGTAGTAGAGCCCCAAGCACAAATACCATAGTTGAGATATGAATAGATAAGGGAGTAATAGAGAGTCACCAGGGCAGGGCGTGGTACATAATATCTGATCTTAGAAAGAATGCCCACAGTTTTTGAAACCTTTTTTGATATGTTTAGAATGTCATATGTTAGAATGTCATCAATAACAAATGTTTGCAATTACTGTATAATATTAATAGAAGTGCATATAGAAAGACACTACCATGATGACCAAACCACACAACAGGAGATAGAGAAATGACGACGTTTCAGTCCGTCCTAGACCATTATCAAGTCGTATGTGGTCCTGGACCAGATAATGGTCCAGGACGGACCAAAACGTTGTCGTTTCTCCATCTTCTGTTGAGTCAGTTGGTCATCATATCTTCAGCCACGTTATTGTGATTCATTGTCGAAACTACGTTTAATTGATTAGTGAAAAGTGTAAATTAATTTAAGAGTGTAAAGATAAAACAGCCTCTTTGTAATTTTTTTTTATAAATAATAATACTGTACATAACGTTAATTTACAACATGAACGAGGAGACTATTTAAGCAAAAGCTATTTCAGTTTTCACTAGTGGCAGTAATTTATGAAAAATCATTGCCAGCTTGACATTTATCTTAATACAGTAAATACTACATTCAAAGTTCATTGACAAGTCCGAATCACTAGCCTCTACCAAGCCACAATACAATACTATCATCTGTTATAGTTTGATATGCCTAATAACAGTGGTACTGGATTTAGCAAATAGCACCTATTGATTCCATCGACTATTATTGCTGACATTCTCTGACTGATGCAAATATCATTAGTCAGTTAATAATTAATAAGATAATTGGAAATAATTAGATCTTTATTAGGTTTAAGATGAACCTAATCATCAGCCTTGGTGATTCATTCAAAGCTCAAAGCTCAAGATACACATTGCTGATTCTTAAAAGACTTGTTATACACATTGATGATTGTTGCAAGGTCCAAAATATACTTTGGTGATTTTTGCAATACTTGGGATTTGTCATGATGATCCATACAGATGTGCATGATTATATTGCATGTGCATTGAATACAAATTAGATTAATTTTGATTAGGAAAGACTTGGGTGAATATAGGTTTTGAAATGGCTGATGATTTACCCAACCCATCCTTTTGTTAGATAGTACCTATTGAAATGATCATCAATAGTCAGAATTCGTACATTCTTAGCTTTTAGACAGTAGTATACTGACTAGTGAGGAATTCTTTTAAATGAAGCTAAAACACAAACTTAGATATTCCTAGGCCTAGTATAAAACACACATGTACCATATTAGGTCTCAGATATCATGTATTAAGCCTAGGGAGGTTAGGATAGGTTAGTTTAGTTTGTCAAAGCAACTAAAGTAAAAAATAGTTTTCCGGTTTGTCCAACTCAATAGTTCAGATTTCTATGTTCTAATTTCGTTGTACTGTACATCAGTATATGTACTTTGTTCCTCATTGCTATTATAGGTACTACCAAAACAGGAGGAAGGGTTGATTTACCACTGATTTGAAGGGTTGACTTGCCTACTTCATTACCTTCCTCTTGCTCCCTTAGACATGTGGGTAACCCCAGGTTACAAACGGCTGGCACGCCTCATGGTCGCCACCAGGCTGGATGACAACACCACGGTGGAAAGTGTGCTCAATGGACTCACCCAGGCCCTCACAGGTGAGTACTCTGCCTCATCCAGGTGCTCACAGATGAGAGTACTGCAGTACAAGAACCATTGAAGCTCTGGAATACTGCAGATATGAGTACTTTTTGGGCAGTAGGCGTCTATAATGTAATCTTCCCTCATGCCAGCCATATACACGTGTAGATTATGATTTCTAGTGGATTTAGGAAGTTCCATAAAAGTAGTTGGATAGCAAAACTAATTATGATTCATGAGTTATAATGAATATAATGAACACTGCATTTGCAGTGTTCATTATTGTGACTTGCTTAATTAGATTAAGAGCAGTGTTGATTACAGAACTATCATAAATGGTAGTAAGTTTTACCAGTCTTCAAGTACCAGTAACATATTTTTCTTCATTTTAGTTGTCATTTCTGATGGGAGCCCCGTCAGCTTCCTAGAGCAATCGGACTGATATTACCTATATTAGTTTGGGGCTTCAGTCGATTGGAGCTCTGCCTACCAGGGACCTCGAGCCAGAACTTGGCCCCCACAGAGAGGTGTAGGGAGCAATGATCCAAGGAAACCCCATTGTATTTAGAAGTATTCCATCTGCCATCGACCGGGGTTAGGCACCCAGAAAGATAGGTGTCCCAAAACAAACCCCACCTGGTAAAAAATTGCAGCCTAAGACTGAACAGAGACCCAGAACTCCCCTCAAATAAAACAAGGAACAAGCAAACGTCATCAGCCTGGCGCACTGCTTGTTCACGTAGCCCCCCCCCCCCCCTCTTCGTAGGAGGTCAGTTACTCACTAACAGGGGAGAGTCCTGGACCCCCTCTCCGGCAGCCCACTCTTCAGTTCGTAGACTGAAGCTCGGCAACAGCATGAAGTCTCTTGGCATTCCTTTTGCCTTTTCTCTCCATAGGTTGTCTTCTGTTTCTGTGCATGTTGTTTTGTCCTTTCTTTCTTGGGTCTTTCAGGACCATCATCGTATGCCGGATACTGTCGCCTCTTATCATGCGGCGCTGACAGGGCCGCTCCAGCTTGCGTTCAGGGTGATGCCACTTCTGCCCCATTCCATAAGCTTTCTCATGCTTTGTTTCACCTCCAGCTTGCTCATGCGCCACCTGAGCCGTCCTGGTTCTTGGACTGGGTGCTCTCTTTTCTCTCTTCTCCTTGGTTTGTGGTGGCCTCTTCAGTCCAAGACTGCATTCAGAAGGCTTTGTTTCTGTTGGCTTCAGCTTCTAGGGGTTGGGTCGGTGAGCTTCATGCTCTCCTCTGGTGCAGGGGTTTCAGCTCATTCGGTCCTTGTGGGCAGTTTTCTGGGGGAAGCCCCATCGGCTTCCCGGAGCTTACTAGGCTGATATGCTAATGTCAGACTTTGGCATCAGTCATGTGTATGGAGTTCCATGGGCCTACCAGGGACCACGAGCCACAACCTTGTCCCCTCAGAAGAGGCAAGGGGAGCAATGGCCAATAGAAACCCCCGTGTGGTTGAAAGCATTCTATGTCTGCCATCGAGCATTCTATGTCTGCCAAGGCACTGAACCCCGAAAAACCCGAAGAGGAAGCTGGCGATGCAGCAGCTGATACAAGGCCCTCAGGATCCGAACCCAGTGATCGCGAGAGAGGCAAGAGCTCCCCCCAAGGGTAGGGGGAGCTGCACAGACGGCGGCGTGGCGATGTGTGATGTCATGATCGTTTGCTCATTTCGTTTAGGGGAGTTCTATCCACTTGTTTGGCTTTTGGTAGTAATATTTTCACCAGAATAGGGGTTTGTTTTGGAATGCTTACCTTTCTGGGTGCCTAACCCCGGTCGTTGGCAGTTGGAATACTCCCGAATACAGTGAGGTTTCCTTGGGCCATTGCTTCCTGCGCCTCTCTGAGGGGGTCAGGTTCTGGCTCTTAGTCCCCGGTAAGCAGAACTCCAATAGACTGAAGCCCCAGACTAATATAGCTAATATTAGACTGATAGCTCCAAGGAGCCTCTGGGGCTCACCCAGAAAATGGTATTTCATTACATTCAATGTTGGTGTTTTTATTTGCATTTGCCAGGGGTATCATTATTTGCACAAATTTTAATTTAAATACCTATACAGTATATGTTTAGCACTGAATGTCATTGTAGCAGAAGCTTCAGTTACAGTTGCCTCTAAACATTTATTTGAAGCATAATCTGTGGAACTTGATGGCATTACAGAGAAGATGAGTTATTGCAGTGACAAGTGCCAGCTGAGGTTTGTCTCGGAGAAGCTCACCAACTCCAAGAAACTTAAGAAGAAACTCCACTTGGCTCCTGATCAGCAGGTGGTGAGTGCTGAGAACTTTATTATCAAAAACAGTGTATTGACTTACTTAATGTCAGTAATCATTGCTTCAACTGATTTGACATTTTTGCAACTAATGCCTAGATATACTTCGGCTTAAAATTCAGATGGGAAAAATCTCCAGGAATAATGGGGGGGGGGGACCTTTGACAAGCTGCTGGTTTTTTGCCCTCATTGAAGCCTCTAAGAGATGTTGCCTCTCAGGGAAATTTGCATTGACACACTCTTATTCACTCATTTATATCTCATGGTATCTGCACCTGGGGATGTACAACTTAGAACTTTTATTATGCATCATATAATATATCTGATATGCTTGGAGATTTACTGCAGAACATTATTTGGCAAACCTTACATCTTATACTTTTGTTTTGGGTCTTATACCAACACTACATGACCCACTTTTGCCATGGATTGCCATAACTGCTACTTTAATAGTCTTAGGAAATAGTACCTTAAAGTACCTTTTATCCAACAAAATCCATGCAACAAACAAACTTCAAACATTCAAGATTATTTCTAGTTATTTTTCCATCTCTTTAAAGCTTAAAAATGTTTGTTCTCGGTAAATTCATAATTGATAATAATTCATTGTATCGGGGGACAGGCAGCCATAGTGTAATTATATACATTAGATTTATATCGAGGTCTCCGCAAGGTTGAATTACTGACCCTCCCCAGGATGCAACTCCACAATAAGCTAACTATCTCCTAGGTACCTACTTATTGCTAGGTGAACAGGCACATTAAATGATAGGAAATGTGCCCAACCATTTATGTCCCACCCGGGTTTGTTAGTTTAGTTTTGTTCATTAATTATGCACCCCATCTTGTGGGTGGTAGTGGAAAGGGTTACTGAGGCACATAATGAGCTCAGGGACTGAACCCCACAATTCATTTAGCTAAGCAAGTTAGTCTTGATGAGCAAGGTACAAAATTCAATGCACATCGTCACATCAACCGAACCCGGAATTCTCGAGTGAGAGTTGAGAACAAACCCGACTGTCCTACTTGGACAATTAAATGTACCTAATTTTGCCTTACAATCAGTTATGCCTCCTCAATCTACATCCCCTGTTAATTATATTTTAAATTTAAGTTTAGTTAATTTATTATGCCTGTTACTTTAACATCACAGAGAGTGCTGGGTACATTTCCTTATACCAGATGCCTCTGTTCAACTAGCAGTAAATAGATATCTGGGAGTTGAGCAACTGTTGTGGGTTGTATCCTGAGGAAGGTCAGTAGTTGACCTTGGAGTACCTTGATATATCTAACGGGTTTCATGTCTCCAGCTATCTAAAAGCTGTCAGCTGAACCATACACATCCCAGTTACTCACTAACAACCAACACATCCCAGTTACTCACTAACAACCAACACATCCCAGTTACTCACTAACAACCAACACATCCCAGTTACTCACTAACAACCAACACATCCCAGTTACTCACTAACAACCAACACATCCCAGTTACTCACTAACAACCAACACATCCCAGTTACTCACTAACAACCAACACATCCCAGTTACTCACTAACAACCAACACATCCCAGTTACTCACTAACAACCAACACATCCCAGTTACTCACTAACAACCAACACATCCCAGTTACTCACTAACAACCAACACATCCCAGTTACTCACTAACAAGCAATACATCCCAGTTACTCACTAACAACCAACACATCCCAGTTACTCACTAACAACTAATACATCCCAGTTACTCACTAACAACCAACACATCCCAGTTACTCACTAACAACCAACACATCCCAGTTACTCACTAACAACCAACACATCCCAGTTACTCACTAACAACCAACACATCCCAGTTACTCACTAACAACATACTGATCCCAACCCCATCACCCCATACAGAAATACCTTAAACTGTTGCAGATGCTAACGCTGCTCTTCCTTTACCTCTTCTCTGACTGTGACCCTGAAGGTGCGTACCAAGTTTGAAGTCGTGGTCTTCCCGACAAGTCCTCGTCAATTGTGTGGACGGAAGTGCCTGAAGCGCTATGCCCGCCGGCTCAAGAAGACGCTCCTCGAGCATCAGTCCATCAGCAGGTGCCATACATTGATACAAGTTCTTTTTGTGGTAGGAATTATGTTATACTAACAATAGGAGTACAGTGGTACCTCAGCTTATGAATTTAATCCCTTCCCAGAGACGGTTCGTAACCCGAACATTCGTAAGCCGAAGCGAATTTTTCCTTAAGAAATAATGTAAATTTATTTATTTATTTTTTATTTATTTATACATATACAAGAATGTACATAAGGAATGTGAGGATACAATTATGGTAATTACAGTCTTGTAAAGCCACTAGCACGCGCAGCGTTTCGGGCAGAAACGTATCAAATTGCATCAAATTGAATTAATCCATTCCACACTCCCAAAAATATTAACTTCAAAGTAAATTTTATACCTAATTCACCCAAATCTTTAGTACTAAAGTATGTACAAGTTATTACTTACCTTTATTGATGACTCTTATTGGCATATGGAAGACGGTGAGGAGGGGGGTGGAGGAGAGGTGTTAAGTGTTTGAAAGAGGAGTCCCCTTCCATTATAACATCAGGCAGTGATGACTTCTCTGGGGTACTCTCTCTCCTATGTTTTGCAGGAGTTACACCAGAACCTGGATGTGGCTCACTGCTTGCATGTCTTACTAAGAATGTGTCTAAAGACACTTGTTTTCTCTACAGTTTAACACTTGTCTGTAGTGAGACATCACATTGTCATTTAAAAGGTCAATGCAACGGCCTGCTACAGCTTTATCTGGGTGAGTTTTTTCAACAAAACTTTGCAGTTCTTCCCATACTTCACACATTTTCTTAATGAGGAAGAGACATCCTCTACTGCCTCTACTCACAACTATTTTCTTGGGTTGAACCTTACTACTGACTTTCTCGGGACCCATGGTGAGATATATAATTACTTTTATGTTCAAATACCCAAAAATAAAAAAAACACTGAAATTCTTTACAAAGAATTCTGGCATGAATGCCACTAGGCGAAAGGCAATGGTAAACTGAGGCGCGGTCGCCGTGCTACCATGCACTTGGTCGGCCATACGCTCATCAACAAACTACATTACCTGACGCAAAGTTTGTAACCCGATTCGAACTTTATGAAGACGTTGAGCTCATAACCCGAAAAGTTCGTAAAGAGGGGGCATTTGTAAGCTGAGGTGTCACTGTACTTCAGTACTAGTTTTCATTTGAGTAGACATAAATAAGTGGCTCTTATTATTGATGTAGTTCACTCATTAAGTAGCTAGTAGTAGTACAGTATTAGTAGTGGTAATAAAGTTCCATCCATGTGTTTTGTATAAGGAATTTTTAATATCTCATTTAAGTTCATTATAATACAGTATAGTTATTTTGAAAAATATTTGTTTTATTGTCTCGATGCGTCTTTAATGTGTAATTGGGTTTGTACGGGATTTTGAACTAGATGTGGGTTTTTCCCTTGTCAGGGACAAGAAGCTTGCTGGGTTTATCGAGGGTTTCTGTAGGCTAATTACAGCCCTTCCCCAGAATGCAACCCACAATTGCCAAACTCCCAGGTACCTCTTTATTACTAGGTAAACAAAGGTATTATGTGACAGGAAATTTGCTCAATTGTCTGTCCTGCTGTAGAATCAAACCTGGAATCTCTTGGTTGTGCATAACTGCAGTGACCACTGAACTACATTGGTTCTAATAACCTTAGTTACTAACCAGACAAATGGGCATTAATACGCACAGTGAGAGTCAACAATATACATGTATTATGAAACACTATTAAGTACTGTAGTAAGCAATTCATGATGGCAGCCAGAACACTGCGAGCTGGATATCAGGCTACTGATCGCCGTGTAGACCGAGCAGCTAGGTAGTAGAGGTGTGAAATATTACAGTTCAAAGAATGCATGGTTTACACAGGAGAGCTTTCTTTCCTTCCTGGTTTCATGACCATCAAATTAAGAAATGCAAAATGAGGCCCAGTGAAGTTTAGGCTTTGCTCTTGCTTGATGATGCACTTGCCCACCCCTATACTGACGCCTTATGTACAGTACATAGAAATATATACAGGTATCAGTACTGAGGCAAACCAGTCAGCTGATCATAAGAGAGGCCAATGAGCACAGGAGGCAAGCAAAACTTAAATTTTTATTTGTTAAAAACAGCAAGCCAAAGACCTTCAACAAGTGAAATCTTATAAGCAAGCCAAGAGCCTTCAACCAGTGAAGCTTCAGCAGATGACAGTCAAAACTGACTTGCCAAGTTCATGTACAGTAATTTTAGTGTAGTGTTAGGTTACGTAAATGAACATTCTGAAGTCTTTCATCAGTCAACCAGATGAGCTTCAGCTGTAATTTCTGTTGTCGCTAAATTGTTTCACTACTGTAAGTACTGGACTTGTATGTGAAAATCCTCCCTTAACCATGTATAGTGTGTGTGGAAATACGAATTACAATAGATGTGGTTAAAAAAATTGCAAATGTTAAATTTTGGACTTTTCCCGGTAAGAATTCCTGCTTAAACAGATGCCCAGCTTAATCGGTGAAGGATGGGCCCTATATAATCTTGGTAAATGAGAGTAGACAGTATGTGAAATTGGAGGTATCTGTTTTTACCTCTTAACTGTGTGTGTTTCAGCGTGACAGGTCACGAATACCAGCTGCTGCCTAGGACGTACAAAGCAGGAGGACGAGTAAAGGAGACATGTCCAGAAGGGTTTGTTCATGTGGGGAGAAAGTGTGGTGAGTGATGGAGTTATGTGATAATTTATTGAAGCAGAGTTTTAAGTTAGGTTTAAGAAATAACTTCCAGCCCAAATGTTTTCAATTAGCCTTTATGTTATTGCTAGAATATTAATCAAATTTCACAACTTAATATCCGTGTTCAGCCTGGTTATCACTCCCGCATTAACACGAATGCCTGCGTTCAAACCTTTATGACATATAATTATACAGTATATGCATGTGTGTTTATAAACATGACATAAAGGTAATGTTGAGTTTAAAAGACTGGTATTGTCTCATAATGTATACTACTGACTCAAGATCTGACTTCATCATATAATTTATTGAAAATTTGTTTCTTAACATTTTAATTACTAGAAAGTATGCAGGCTGACTGAGAGTTCTGCTATTGAATCCCAAACTTCACATAGAAGATGTTTGTTTTTATTATGCAGCTGTTAATGTTAGCAGTGTGTGATTGACAGTGGCATGCAGTTTAGGGTCATACCATGACGTGGAGAAGGGTGTGTGTGTGGCATGCCCGGCCAGTACCTATCAACCCAATGAGGCGAAGCTCAAGTGCCTTTCTTGCCCCGTTGATGACCTGCCACAAGCTCCATACAAGACTGGCGCCAGGAACCTTTCTCAATGTTCTGGTCAGTTTCTTCTCTCTTACATAAATAGTAAATGTATTCAGCAAGTGTATCATAATTTTCTTCATGTAAATGTTTAGGATATATTGTACTTAATCCTTCATGATCACAACTACTCCAATCAGTTGCATTGCCCATGCCTACTTAAAAAATATATACAGTACAGGTATATTTTTTATTAAATATTTTTTATAGTGGTTAAAATTTTTGAAAATATAGAAAAATCCATATATTTTTTGGCTATACAGGATTTCAAATTATGGTACAGTAGTAATTAAATTCAGATTTTTCATATCAGGTCTTGATAGAAAGTGTTTTCTATTATTGAATTCAAAGATAATCATAAATATTTTTTAGCTTGAGGAAATAAATTTGAGGCACCAGTATTGTGGTAATTCCTAGACAGCTGCTATAACTGATTAAGTACTAGTATAAGTATAAATTAGTACAAACTAATTATATAAGTATAATTAGTATAAACGAGAGAGGACTAAAGGCGACCAACCCAGAATTCTACTGAATTCATTGGGAGGTTCTGGAGGCCCCGAACTGGAACCCAACCAGGAACCTCCCGGTGAAGTCTCTAGAGTTCTGTCAGTTCTGAAGTCTGTCTGGTCGGCTGTTGTCCTATCATGGCTGAGTGGGTTAAGGCAGGGGCGATGGGGGGGCGGCTTGCGCTGTTCGCAAAAATCAGGATTTCAAATTATGGTACAGTAGTAATTAAATTCAGATTTTTCATATCAGGTCTTGATAGAAAGTGTTTTCTATTATTGAATTCAAAGATAATCATAAATATTTTTTAGCTTGAGGAAATAAATTTGAGGCACCAGTATTGTGGTAATTCCTAGACAGCTGCTATAACTGATTAAGTACTAGTATAAGTATAAATTAGTACAAACTAATTATATAAGTATAATTAGTATAAACGAGAGAGGACTAAAGGCGACCAACCCAGAATTCTACTGAATTCATTGGGAGGTTCTGGAGGCCCCGAACTGGAACCCAACCAGGAACCTCCCGGTGAAGTCTCTAGAGTTCTGTCAGTTCTGAAGTCTGTCTGGTCGGCTGTTGTCCTATCATGGCTGAGTGGGTTAAGGCAGGTGTCTGGGAATCGTCACAATGCTGATTCAAGTCATTGCATCAAAATAATTTTCTTATTGATATATCATGCCATTGTAATTTCTTAGGGATGTTATAGTTTACTAAAACAAATACTGTATAATCAATTGTCTAAAACTTAATTATTCGCATAAATATGATTTTGCTCGATAAGGTAAGGTAAGGTACCACAAACTTCAACAGTTTCTAATTGATAACTAATATAAGAGGAAAGCTTTCTCCCTATTAAAAAAAATCCAGAAATATAAAATTTTGATCATTATAGGGATTTCACTGCAGAACATTTAATATTCTCATGAGTTTAAAAATTTGCAATTATCATGCAACATAAGCTGCATGTTCATCGGGTGAACCCTATTCATCATTTGAAGTAAACCGTTGTCTATAAGGGTTTAGTATACTGGACATTATAAATGTAATCTTTATAAATAACCCTCAATGCTCACTGTTTCCTTCGTGCTGACAGATGTATGTCCAGCTGGCTCCTGGAGTGCTGATGGCTTTAGTCCATGCCAGCCATGTTCTTCAGGCAGCTACCAGGAGGACAGTGGTCGTGTTAGTTGCTCTTCTTGCCTCCCCAGCAGCACCTCCCCACCAGGAGCCACCTCATTCTTCCAGTGTCTGTCTCATGGTAGGGTTTTGTGACTGGCTTACTTGCTTTCCCTTACCACTATCAAGTTTTATTACTCATTATGTTACTATTAATATATTGTCATGGTTCCTGATTTGTTAGCAAGTTAACAAGATTTAATTGGTAATGTGGGAGTAGATCCATTGAAAACAAGGTTATAGATTTAAGGGACAAATTACCAGGTAACATAATAGATGTGGAATCACTGGATTGTATCAAATGTAGATTAGATTTATATGTACTGTATTAAAGAGTTTGGTTGGATATAAGTAGAAGCTGCCTTGCATTGGCCAATAAACTTTCTCTGTTTTCCTCTAATTTTTTATGCTCTTTTGCAGTGATAACTGGATAATATTTGCATTAATATTTTAACATTCTAATTATAACATTAAGAATAGCTTGAAAGGAAACAAAGGATAGTGAGCTAAAATTTTGCAAATACTTTACCTTACCAATTTGACATACAAGTTACAAATGGGATGATGTGAAATCCTTTAGATATTACCTGCCTCTATAACATACATAAATTAAGTTTAATTGCGGGGTTTTTGCCTTTCTTATCTTTCAGTCTTTTTATCACCTATGTTTACTGAAACTTTTCTCACATTTAATGCACCCCAACTTTGATGCTATCAACCATAGCATAAAAAATTCTGGTGCTTTAGTGAAACTAAAAGTACCAAATTATTAAGGCTTCCTCAGACTAAAGTGCATCAACTTTGATGCTTCATTAGGTTAGGTGGGTTGCCTAGGTTTGAATGCTTCTGTCTAAGCAAAACTATTTCAAATTTATTTGATTCTTGTCCAATTGTTAGAACGGGCTGATTTATTATCTTTGTTGCCGACACTCCTATTAATCCACAGGAGAGACGTGTGATCGTGGCCACTACTGGAACCTGACTAGTGGCCAGTGTGAGAGCTGCCCTCTGGGATACTACCAGCACAATACTGGTGCCTCATCTTGTATACAGTGTCCTGGTTCCTCCACCACAGACCACATAGCTTCCACCTCGCTAGCTGCCTGCAAGAGTTAGTTCTTCTATCCCAAGTTTTAACATTTTTAGAGTACATATGATAAATAATCTTCTGAAAAACAATTGTAAAAATAATAATACAGTACAGTAATTTAACAGTCCCCTGTGGCGCAGTGGTAAAACACTTGCCCGGCGCTTCGTGAGCACTTTGGCCTGGGTTCTTATCCTTTATAAGAATATAAAAACTCTTGTGTATATATATATATATATATATATATATATATATATATATATATATATATATATATATATATATATATATATATATATATATGTATATATAAAATATATATACATGTTAGGCTTATATCAAGGTCCCCCACAAGGCCAAAGTACTGACTCTTCCAAGATGCAATCCCACAGCAAGGTTACTAACTCCTGGGTATCTATTTACTGTTTAGTGAACAGGTCATTAGGTAATATGACATGTGTTCAGCCATTTCTGTCCCACCAGGGATTTGAACCCAGAATTCACAATTGCGAGTCAAGAACGAACCCGACTGTACTAATGTACTACATCCAGGAAAATGTTCTGATAGGTAGTGATGTGTTTTGTGTGCTAAGTGTGAACAGAGGGAGAAACTTCACCTTGCAATGTATTCTTCCCTCGACATTGATCCTTCAGTATATTTCCTTGCTCTTGAAATATATTCCCCACTCACACATTGCTTCTGCAATATATTCCCTGCCAACACAATCCTCCTGCAACATACTCCCATCCTAGACATTGCTTGTGTGTACAGCTATGTTCTCTCATCATTTTTGAACCTTATCAAAGTGCCTCATCAGAATGTACACTAGTCGTTTAGAACTGATCGTTCTCTAAATAGGGCCAGCACTACTAAAAACCCAGCATTGAATGTAATGAAATGCCAATCATATTGTGATTTCTGGTAGCTCCCTGAAGCTTTTCCACTGAGATAGCTCCCATCTACTAGATCACATCAGCCATGGTGGAGTTCAGTTCAGCCTACTGGGGACCAGACCCAGAACTTTGCCCCCTCTCAGAGGTGCAGGGAGCAGGTAACATCCTACCACCTCACTGGAAAAGGCATCCAGAAAATCAGCAAACCAATGCACACCATTGCTGGGTTCAAAAGAGACCGAAGCCTCACAATACCCCGAATGAACTCCCCAACAATGTAAACAAGCAATTGAATCTCTTAAAACATTCGTGCGCTCATTCAGGCCACCCCTTCCACTCATTTGGAGACTGGGGAGGTCTTGGGGCTTACACTAGTTGAACTAATCAAGCATCAATAACCAGATGGCCCCTCCAGAAGCTGGTCAACTCATTCTTTGTCAGAAAAGAAGGCAAGGAAGGGACCTTTGTGGGGAAATGTTTTTCTGTGAATACTGTATAGGAAATAATTGTTGTGGTTGAAAAAGCCACTTTTCAAAACTCCTGCCAGATCAGCAGCTTCTCTGCTCATGTGCAGTGGCATAACTATATTGGGAGAATGATCCTCTCTGAAAAAGATATAAACAAGTGCTTAATATTGGTAAAAGAAACTGTTAACAGTAAATTCTGTGACTGGAAAACACTTTGAAATTATAAGTGTTAAATGAGGAAAACCAGTTTAAACAAATTAAGAAATGTAAAAAAAATAAGATGTGAAACCAGAAAACATTAGAGTGCTGGAGGGGAGAGTAAACATGGCCCCGGCGCTTGTGCACTTCACTCTGGGCGGTGGAACAAATCGGATGGTCATGCCACACAGTAACTATAGTGCAGAGAACTAACTGATGTTATTTGTGGTACTAACATATAAACTAGATAGGCATAGGATTGATTATTTGCATGTCCCAATGGTGGCTGTTAATTTTGTGTAACTTTCCACCATATGTAGAATGTTTTAAGTTCACTTTCCATGTCATTATCACTTGTTACATGATAAATGACAAAACTAAACATAGATGACTTTATAGAGATGTGTATTTTTTTACATAATGTCATGAGTAATTTACTTCACATGGCTTTAATAATATTTTTAAGTTGTTCCTTAGGATGAAATGTAAGAAGAGTATTTAATTTAAAGTTTACATTTATTTTAACTAGGGCATGCATGTGGAGGGTACGTGGGTGAGCTTTCCGGAGTATTTGAGACGCCAAACTACCCTGGCGACTACCCTGATAATGCCCGCTGCACCTGGGTAGTCAAGCCTGCAAAAGGTCGCCGGGTGCTGGTCGTTGTGCCAGAAATACAGCTCAGCCATGATCAGTGCGGTGACTACTTGGTACTCAGAAAATCAAGTGAGTACTTTAATTTCTAAGTCAAAATATATAATCTTGTTGGTAGTTAACATTGGAAATCATACCATCATATTTATTCAAGGCCATTTATCATCAATAATGAGGAGCAGTTTTAGTGTACCGAAAACAATAGTTTTTAACCCTTAAAGAGCAGCAGGTTCCCAGAGGAACCAGCACAATGTCCGACACCAAACTCTGCCCAGGGGGGACAAACAAGAAGGGCAACATGGAGACTCCCGCCCAGCTGCTCAAGCACCTGCCAAATTATTGAGGTCGATTCAACACCAAAAGACAGCAGTGCTGCACCCAGGACGAGGTTGTTGACGGAAGGAACAGTGACGCCGACTGAGTCCCAAACGAGGCCCAACCAAGTCTGAACCTGGGTCAAAACCAAATGAGCCTTAAGTCAATTCACCATGAACCTGAACCTGGCGAGCTGCTGGGAAGGCACCAGATCCCTGGCTAACAGATATGTGGACTGGCTGCAAGCCCAAACCAGCCAGTCATTGAGGTAGGCCAAAACCCAAATGCCCAAGAGATGAAGATAAGTCACTACAACTCGAGCCAAGTGCGAGAAAATTCGAAGAGCCAGATTGAGGCCAACAGGAGGACCAGGAAGCAGTAAGCTTGATACCCATCCATAAAACCTAATCAATTCCTGAACCTCGGATGCATAGTGACATGCTAATAAGCGTCCTGGAGGTCCAGGGAAATCATCCGGGTGAGACAGATGCTTGAGAGTGAGACAGACCTGGGACAGAGTGGTCAATTGGAAAGAAGGGCAAGGAATAAACCAGAAATAAACCACAATAAGGCTGGTTCTGAGAAAATTTGGTATATAAATACCATACACAGCTTATACAAGTTTGCAGGCTCTTGGAGTACTGATCATTCTTTGAAAAGAGCTAAATTACCTCACATTATAAGATTAAACTATCATCCTACTTTTATTATAAATACTGTATGTATAAATAATATGCAGAATGGAAAAATTGAACCACAAACCAACTAAATTGCTGATGGTGACACTTCATCCTTACATGCCCATTGATTTGTTTCTAATCTTGTGGTCAAAACTGCCGCCAACCCTTCCAAACCCTCTGCTAATCTTTCCAATCTAAACCACAATCTAAAATAATCAAATGAACTCAGTAAAACGAACTACAGTATATCTCAGGTCTAACATAGATCCTTTTATAATGGTTAAAACAAATATGTATATATTTTTAAATATTTTATCTAAATTTAGAGAGTGTGAATTTACGATCTTGCCAGTTGTATTTTGGGGAGTTGTTGACTACTGAATAAAACACTTACTTAATTCTTCCCATTGGCAATTTATTCATACACAGGTTTTGAGTAATAATTATGAATATAAACTACTGAATATTGAAAACAATATATGTATTAGACAATAAAATTATTTCATTTTGCAATACAACTATCTGAAGAGATAAAGCCAATGAAATTTTAGCAACACTGAAGTCACAACAAACTCCATATTTAGTACATGCTAATTTTCTAATCAAAAAATACTCTCTTCAGTACAGTAGTTGCAACAGATCTACATATTAAAAGCACCTGAGCTGTGTTCCCAAAGTGTGCTATAAAATCATCTCTAGCTATTCACCACAAATATAGATTTATATGAATGTTCTAAATTGAAATTATGAAATTATCTTCCAACAATTTCTGCCTTTAAGTTCATTCTTTAGAATTAGTTTCATTGCAATTTTCTTGTGGTGTGCTGGCAGAGTCGGCCTACAGTGCCGTGACCTTTGAGACCTGCTCCAGTGTGGACCGGCCTGTGGTCTTCACGTCTCGCTCACGTCGCCTCTGGGTCCACTTCCGCAGTGATTCTAACAACACCAACAAGGGTTTCAGAATTCAGTTTGTTACCTATAATAGTAAGTTATATTATGCATTGATGGCAGGCCTTTTGGAGAGTTGTATAGCAATCAGTAGGCCTAGTCCTCTTTGTTTTTAACGGGCTATGCAGTAGTTCACAATGTACCATCAAGGCATAATGGTAAAGATTTGATTTTCTTGTCTATGTTCAAAGTTTAAAAACTTGTAGGCATAAAATCTTGGCTATGATTTGTTTAAGAATAAGATGGAAATTGATCACAATATAATATGGACATAAATTTATGCTGTTCTGGGGTGTATGTGTAATTACCTAAGTGTAGTTACAGGATGAGAGCTACGCTCGTGGTGTCACGTCTTCCCAGCACTCTTTGTTATATAACGCTTTGAAATTAGATTGCTTCAAATTGCTGTACATTTAAAGCTGAACAAATGTTGCTTCATAATATTAATGCCATTCGTGGTAGGGGATTTTACATGTCCTCAGATTATTTCTTAATTTTTTTACTTGAATATATCTGAGGGCAACTATTTCTCTAATAACCTCAGTAGGGATAGAAAGCTGATAACTTGGCAAAGTTCCCCCCCATTTTTCTTTATTTTGTTCTGGCTGGACTTTGAATTGCAGTATTGTCTTGGCATTTCCGACTTCAGTGGGTAGGTGGTCCCACGGGTTTACAACCCTTTTATTTACTATTAATGGTAATAAAGACTATGTTATCTAAGTACTGTATATGTTTTCTTCTCTTTCAGAAGAATATCACAAACTAATCAAGACAATTGTAAGAGACAACCGCCTCTATTCTCTTCACAACCACTTAGCCATATTAAGGGTATGTAACTTATTTTTGTAAAAGACTTGCAAATTATTTTGTTTCGTAACACTAACAGATTTAATCTTTATCATATAATGGTATAATTTACAATGAATTTTAACAGCTGAGTATGCTATAAATAAATCATATACTTTATACATGTTTATTATATTCTGAGCAATATAATAACTTGCTAGATAATATATCATTCAGCTCTTAATAACTTATTCATTATGGTCGAAACTCATTCGGTTGAAATGTGCGTTTGGGTCAATATGAAAAAAAAAGAACCAAGAATTGTATGTGTGTGACACAGAAAAACCAGTAAGCGAACAGTACACAAAGAACAGTATGAGGGATGCATAAGAAGAAATACAATACTGTATTAGCTTAGAATCCCAGTAACTCCACAAACAGACACACACACACAGGCACGTGCGTGAAGGCACACAAACATTCATACCAAAACAAAGATGCAGAACCAGAAAACAAGATTGGTTCAACAGAAATTGTGAGAGTGCCAGAGAGGATAAAACAAGAAAATGGGTTCAATATAGGAAGAGGCCCAACCCACAAACATACCAACACTACAAGCAAGCAAGAAACAATTACACAGCAGTGAGGAGAGAGGCAGAAAGGAACTTTGAGAAACAGATCCAGGCCTTTTCTATAAATTCATTAAAAGCAAGCTGTATGTAAAAGATAAAATCCAGAGATTGAGAATGGGGAGCAGGACTACTGAGAATAAAAAAGAAATGTGTGAAATGCTAAATGAACAGTTCCAAAGTGCATTTGTACAAACTGAGGATTTCAGAGAGCTGAACCCAATACCACTTCTAGAGCATGCCGTAGAATACATACATGTACTGTATCTTAAGACGAAGAAGAAAAATTACTCGAGTGACTAGGAAGAAATAAAGCAGTTGGACCTGATAGAGTTGCACCTTGGGTGCTGCAAGAATGTGCAACTGAGTTAAGCATTCCACGCCAGTTAATATTCCAGACATCCTTGTGCATGGGAATCTTATCAGATATATGGAAAAAAACATAGTACGTACCCCAAATACATTTTTACATAATTATTTCAGTGACTGTGAATGGTTTTATATCTAGTTTATTGCAGTAATATTATTTAATAGTGTGTAATATATGGAATGTGTATAGTTAAATGTGTGGAACTTCGCTATTCTCAAAAATATGGAGCTCATATATGGTGACGCATATTATATTCTTAGATCAACCAAACAGTGTTCCTGTTGTAATTACACTATATATACATGTTATATATCATTATCAATATTTATATGCACCATAACATATTAATAAAGAGTTCTAGTGGGTACGGTGATGAAATCAAAACACAGCATGGAGCCACAAGCAGACGACACCAGCAGTCACATAATGCAAGACAATGCCTCCAATATTCTACTCATCTCACTATGATTAGCTACAAAACTGCCATTATTATCACATTCCTGTCACAAAATCCCAAATATGAATCCATTTCCATAACAAAGTTAACATTGGTGAGAGAACATAAGGTCATTTCATGATGGGTAGATGCAGGAAACAATGGCCGGGTGCTGTGTCTCTACCTCATGCTGTGAATATCATAACTAACATTGTGTTCACTGATATCTGAACTTTGTACATAGTCTTTATCACAGTCAAGATCATCTATAACACTATCAATGCAAAATAATTTCAGTTACCTATTTTATTCATCATTACTAAGTAGTGCTGTGGCCCCTAGCTGTACAGCGGTGCTGTGCACAGCTCCTGCATGCGCCAGCATTGGTCGCTTTCTCAATGCTAAGGCTCTCACAGCCAGAAAGGATGCTGATGATTTTTTTCAAGATGGCATATGTTTACAGGAGTCCTGAGGCACAGGCTGTGAGCCCTGTGTACCCACAGGAGTTTTGAATCGTTCCCTATACCTAAAAATGCCACTGTGCACCCTCGATCCAGTGCCTCAAAGCGCTCTGCGCAGTGCAGTGGTTAAAGACTCGGTCACTCCTCACTTTCTTGCCATATATTTTTTCTGGCCTTCTTTTCCTTCTCTTCCTATACAGTACTTTTATTCTCTCAAATAATGTCTTGAGTAGTCTATGATCATCCATTCATACACCATGTCCAAACCTTCTCAGTACTCTCAATCTTACTCTACTGAATTTTACATCCCATATCCTTTCACAATATTTTCTTTCTTTCTCTACTTTCCTAACACCACACATGCTTTTCACATTATTAATACAGTAAAAGTAATAATGATATAATACAGTTTACACTAATTTTAGTCTCACATGTGCAAATTCCTGCAGTAAAAGTTTAATACTGTATTGGCATCTAATTACATGGACGAACATTGTGTCTACAGGATCGTGAGCTGCTGCCACGTCTGCTGGAAGTTGTGGCAGAACCCATCAAGTACTATGAATATGCTACGGAAAAAGATAAGCTTTTTCCCTCTTCTTTCATAAGGTTGCTGACGCCCAAAGTACGTAGGTTCTTTTCATATAGGCGGAGAAGAAAATGATCATCATCATCTATGATAGACCTGGAAATAGAACTTTGCTCAAGAAGCAGCATGGTAATTATCTGAGGATACATTATCTTCCAAGTCCTTTTACAAGAAGAATTGTTAAAGTAACTGCAGGAAATAATGTGAACTGTTGAATGATAAATGAAATTGGAATTCTCTTATCAATAACTTGCAAGTTTGTAAAATGCTCTCTGCTTGAGGGTCTTACCACAACAGCTCGGAACATAATAAAAGTGTAGATTTACATTAATTACTTCATTATTTTATAAAAGAATTTAAATATATATAATCTTGATTATTAATCCCATAAAGAATGAACAATTTTGCATGAATTAAATTTATTTTATGATAATTGTGAAGAAAACTGTGTAAACCAATGAAAAATATCCTACTGCAGCCAAATACTAATTTCCCTTTTACAACCATGTGAATGTTATACCAAATAAACATGTTATGTAAAGCAGATATGCACAGTATGGAATAGTGTGTGGTGGAATGTTGCGTACAGATGCTGTACACACAGGACCAGTTTGTCTTCTGAAGTCATTGAAGCAAGATTAGCATTCACCCTTAAAATATATCTGAAAAACGCTCATCAAAGTATGTAATTGCATAAATATTGCACAAACCATTGGTATCTTTATGTTGATGTTACTCTTACCTTACCTTACTCTGAATTGACGTGATTACCAGGCTTGGAGACTATGAAGCAACTAGCAGGAAAAAGAAATAAGGTAATGGTGAGTGTGTCTGTGTTCACCTTTAAAATGGCTTGTAAACAAACTATCCTTCACCTGCAGACCTATATGAAAAACAATTTTTGCAAACTTTTCCTTCAAACTAATAAAATATTAAATAACAAAATATGTGGTGTGCATCTGGCAGAGAACCTTGCCCCCATTTTCCCTTTTCATATCTCAATCACTTACTCCATCCTATCCACCCAGGAGACTTCAACATCAGTTAGATATATAATATAGTAATCTTTTATTATTATCTAGTGATTGTTGACAGATCTGTCTTTTTTACCAAAAACCGTTAAGATATATTTACAAAATAGGTTGTGGTGCTTTAAAACAGCTCGGCAACAATCATTGTTGCCAGATAGAAAGAGTAATCATGACCCAACTAAGGGACAGATCAATAAGTTCACCCTTGATGCTTCTATATGACAGTAGGTTGCATGTAAATTACTTCTCTTACAGGTTCTATGTTACATACAGTACCACTTGTCCTAATCTGGATGCTTCATCAATAAACAGCACAGCCAGTCAGTATATTCCCTTTGATCAGGAGTCCTTTGATCAGGAGGAGTCCTTTGATCAGGAGGATTCCTTTGATCATGAGGTTTCCTTTGACCAGGAGGATTCCTTCAGTCTAGGAGGATACCTCTAATCAAAATGATCCCCTTGATGAGGAGACCTCTATCAATTAGGATTCCTTTGATCCAGAGTATCCCTTCACTCAGGAGGATCCCGCCCATTAAGAGATCAGTAACTGGAGCCTTATTTACAGTCTCACTGATCTGGAACCCTCCCGAATATGATTTAATAAACTACCGACATTTTAACACCTCCAAGTTTAGCCAAGCCCAAGATTTAATGGTGGGGTATAGCACCATGTAGGTCCTTAAGTCCAGTGGATACTGTAATTTTTAATCCATTGAAGCCTCATTCAAGCCCATTTCAAGATTGGCATTTGAAGTTAGCAGTGAATGTATGGTAATGAAATATGAACGTGTATATATATATGTATGAAATGTTTATGCAGTTTGTGTAAGTTGGTACATTCATCATTTGTGTTGTGATTCCAGAATAGGCTAAGGGCACCCATTGTGTTTCAATCAAATATAACATTTTATAGATTCCAAAATACTGTATATGTCAATGTTTTATAGTGTCTGAGATGCAACTTCAGTTAGTCTGAAACTATTACATAAGAAAGTATCCATCTGAAGTGTGCTGTCTTTGTTGGTGCTATGTAGTTCATATTCATATACAGTACTAATAAATTATATATACTGAATATATATCAATATATATATTCAGTGTTATATATTATATATTCAGTATTGATTATATAATGCTCTGATGAAAGCGAATTGAGCCGAAAACACGTTTAGCATTCTCTATTTTCACATGTGATTTTTCCGCAAACTTGCGGAAAATAATATACTGTACTGTATATATATACAGTATATATATACAGTATATATATATATATATATATATATATATATATATATATATATATATATATATATATATATGTAATATACATAATTTCTTATTTTCTTTCTCTTTTGGTGCTACAGAACTTAGATTTTTCTCTCATGTGATTTTCACTTTAAGCATATATGTATGTTTTCCTGTTAACTGTGATTAAAGGATATTACTATTGCCTCTATGATGTAATTGTAAATTAGTAAATTGATGTATCTGAAGCTGTTGTTATGGCAAAGCAACTTCCTTGTTATCCACCTGTTGTAATTTAATTAAAGTTAATAAATTATTTATGATTGGTATACATCACAGACCTTGTTTTAAAAAGTTCCTTATATGAAGCCATTGACAATTGCAGGCCACACAAAAAAGGGGCATTTATTATCAAGATAACTTCACTTGCACCAGTGTCATCAGCGATAAACAACTACTACAAATATACCTTTGTTCAATGCTCGATGAAATCCCTTAACTCCCCTATAACTATTGGAGATTTCAATAGATAGTTCATAGATTTCCCAATACTGATACAAATGCATTCTGAAATAATCTGAGGAATCTAATCATAAGCAACATCTCAACAACAATCACATCATCTTAGGAGGTGACTTAAACATTGACCTTTGTCAACAAAATATCCCCCAAGTTGAGTATTTCTTGAACAGCATAAACTCCTGTTCGTTAATCCCCACAGTCACCAAGCCTACCTGAATCACTCAAACATCCACCACAACCTTGGACCACATATGGTGTAACATAACGGCTTCCCCTTTCCTCTAGTATACTCACTGACATCAACCTACCACTACTTTACCTATTTCATAGCAAACATAGACATAACACCACTGGATACCAAGAAATTAACCTTCAGACTACATAGCAAAACAGCAATAGGCACTCTCATAAATATACGTCACAATATAAACAGGGAATCTGAATTCAGTAATACACAGGACATAAATTCATTAACCGACATCTTTCTCACCTAAACTCAAAGTCTCTACAACACACATTGTCATCTCCTCACCAAGTAAGTCCTGGTCCTGTAACTGCCAAAAGATTAAATAATCCCTCCGTCAAACGTGGCATACTTAAAGCAATTAACAAGAAACAAAATAGGATTGGTCTAGTTATAAAAGAACCAGCTAAAATGATACTCATCAATGCTTACCAGTTTAATGAGGAATAAGTCAACTACCAAGGAGGAACCATGGGATCCTCAGTCTGTATGGTGCAACATACTAGCTCAAGATGGTAACAAACTGACAGTGGGAGTATGCTACAGGATAAGTTGGAGAGCATACAGCAGAGAAAGCATAAGTTGGAGAAACAGGTCAGAGTAACTGGTAGGCAGCTCCAGTGGATAAGGGACTACATAAGCAAAAAGAAGCAGAGTTACTGTGAGGGGTGAGACATCAGATTGGTGTGAAGTCACAACCAGAGTCCCACAGGACTCAAGCGCCCTTGTGCTTGGCGTACAATTCCCACAGGACTCTGCACTCGGACCCATCCTGTTTCTGATATAGTACGTAAATGATCTAACAGAGGGTATAGACTCATTCCTCTCAATGTTTGCTGATGATGCCAAAATTATGAGAAAAAAATAAAATGTTTATTTAGGTAAGGTACATACATACAATAAATTTTTACAAAGATTGGTTGACTTAGTGGTAGAGCTAGTACATACAATGCCTAAAGCCACTATTACGCAAAGCGTTTCGGGCATGATAAACTTAAATGACAAGCTTAATACTAATTGAGCATAATGAGTAGAATGAAAACAAGAAATGAAAACATAGACGAAAAAGCAGAACAAATACAATTATGTCGACAAACCGCTTTAAAAAAAAAAAAAAAAAAAAAAAAAAAAACAGACATTGGTTGACAATAGAAGGGTAAGGTAGATTACAGGGAATTTATTAGGTATAGCTTCGTTTTTAACTTAAACTGGTTGAGAGAGGTACAGTCTTTAACATGGTTGGGAAGGTCATTCCACATTCTGGGCCCCTTAATTTGTAGAGCATTTCTAGTTTGATTAAGTCGTACTCTAGGAATATCAAAACTGTATTTATTTCTGGAGTGGTGCTCATGGGTTCTGTTACAACCTTCTATGAAGCTTTTGAGATCAGGATTGGCATTATAGTTTAGCGTTTTATATATGTATAATACACATGAGAGAATGTGCAGTGACTTAATGTCTAACATATTCAGAGATTTGAGTAGGGGTACCGAGTGATGTCTGGGGCCAGAGTTGGATATTGTCCTAATAGCAGCTTTGTGTTGAGTAATTAGAGGACGTAAGTGATTTTGGGTAGTAGAGCCCCAAGCACAAATACCATAGATGAGATATGGATAGTTGAGAAGGATTAAGACAGAGGAGGACAGCATGAGGCTTCAAGAAGACCTGGATAAACTGAAGGAATGGTCCAACAAATAGTTGCTAGAGTTTAACCCGAGTAAATGTAATGTAATGAAGACAGGTGTAGGGCAGCATTAGGCCAGATATAAGGTATCATTAGGGAGATGAAATTCTTCTAGAATCAGAGAGACAGAAAGAGCTGGGGGTTGATATCATGCCAAACCTATCCCCCAAAGCTCACATTTATTTATTTATTTATTTATATACAAGAAGGTACATTGGGTTTATGAGAGTACAGAGACTTGAAGGTTTACATTCTTGTAAAGCCACCAACACACATAGCATTTCAGACAGATCAAGAGGATCATGATCACATCAAGAGGAGGATTAGAATTAGGCCCCTTTACTCATGCAGTTAATTGGAAGCAGTTTATATCTGCCATCTACCAGGTCAGGCACCCAGAAAGGTAGGAATCCCAAAACAAACTATAGCTGGATAAAAAATTGCAAACCGAAAGCCGAACGAGCAAACAGAACTCCCCAATCAGAAAACAAGCAAACAAGCATGACGTCACCACAGCCGTCGCTGTCTGCCCCGGCTATCCAAATTCAAAGACCTCAGTTCAGAGGTTGGATATCAAAAATGCGAAAAATCGCCAACCGGAGGGAGGGAGGGAGGGAGGGAGGGATGCTGGGAAGCATCCGGGTCTCGCCCAGAAAATGGCGTTTCATTACATTCATCGCTGGTTTTGTGTGGAGAACCCCCTTCAGCTCTCATGGAACAGCCTATCCGCCGAAGCCGTAAATGCCAAATATCCGTTAAGCTGTAAATGCCATCTGGAAAAAAAATATCAAGGTAGATGGGGGAACCTTTGACAAGCCACCGACTTCCTGTCCTCGTCGAGGCCACGTGTTGGTGGACTTTAGTAAATTCAGGAAAAATCGTGAATATAAACCCATGGAAACGCCTACCCTCCGAAGCTGTAAATGCCAAAACTGCTGAATTTTAAAATCCAGCTAGATAAAACCATCACGACAAATGGGGACCTTTTACAAGCCGCCGGCTTCCTGTCCTCGTCGATACCATGAGAGAGATAGTGGCTTCATATAAATTCAGGTATATGTAAAGGGTAAGCAAATTTCCTCAAATTCAAATTTTTATTCAGGTAAAAGTACATACAATGATTAAGAGTTACAAACATAATGTTGGATTTATAGATAGAGTTAGTACATACAATACCTAAAGCCACTAATACATAGATAGAGTTAGTACATACAATACCTAAGGCCACTAATACATAGATAGTTAGTACATACAATACCTAAAGCCACTAATACATAGATAGAGTTAATACATACAATACCTAAAGCCACTAATGCGCATAGCGCTTCGGGCAACTTTCCCCAGGGAAAGCATTTTGTGAATAAGACTTTGGCGCATGTATCGGAAAAAATTAATTTGATGGCAATAGAAAACTATATTTTAAAGTAGGTAAATATACAAATAACCTTTAATATATTGTTTTGTGTTTGATATATGTAAGGCGAGAATATTGGCAAGATGCAACACCATGGTTGTATATCACAACACACGAATTCTGAAAGGTGGAATTGGTCAGACTTTCACCTTCTTCTCCGCCCACCAAGGCTGCAGGCAGGTGACCCAGGCGGCCATGGACCAGGTCGAGAGTGCTAAGAAGGCAGCTGCTTATAGAGCAGTTGACAATCACATCAAGGTGAGAAATATTAAGGTTTACTGCCCTGGCATTTCTACCCTGCCCGTATGTGCAAGTAATGTATTGGGGTGTGTGGGTGAGCAGACCATGTCAGCGTGCAGTGTGGGTGAGCAGACCATGTCAGCGTGCAGTGTGGGTGAGCAGACCATGTCAGCGTGCAGTGTGGGTGAGCAGACCATGTCAGCGTGCAGTGTGGGTCAGCAGACCATGTCAGCGTGCAGTGTGGGTGAGCAGACCATGTCAGCGTGCAGTGTGGGTCAGCAGACCATGTCAGCGTGCAGTGTGGGTCAGCAGACCATGTCAGCGTGCAGTGTGGGTCAGCAGATCATGTCAGCGTGCAGTGTGGGTCAGCAGATCATGTCAGCGTGCAGTGTGGGTCAGCAGATCATGTCAGCGTGCAGTGTGTGTGAGCAGATCATGTCAAAGAGCACATCACTGGAGAACAGTCTCCGTGGTGTAGTGGTAAGACACTCGCCTGGCGTTCCGCGAGCGCTATGTCATGGGTTCGTATCCTGGCCGGGGAGGATTTACTGGGCGCAATTCCTTAACTGTAGCCTCTGTTTAACGCAACAGTAAAATGTGTACTTGGATGAAAAAACTATTCTTCGCGGCAGGGGATCGTATTCCAGGGACCGTAGGATTAAGGACTTGCCCGAAACGCTACGCGTACTAGTGGCTGTACAAGAATGTAACAACTCTTGTATATATCTCAAAAAAAAAAAAAAAAAAAAAAAAAAATTGTCAGAGTGAGCAACTGAAATGCTATAAGGATTAGTGAATTTGTGAATGTACCATTTACACTGAAATTAGGTTACTCTGACTAGATTAGGCAAATTTAGCATGTAATTGTATGAAGGTACATGTATTTAGTCTTGCATAATTTTTTGTATTCTTTTATATTTAAAATTTTAGTGTAGTAGCTCATTAATGCTGTACACTTTTTTCTCTTTCTTTTAGGATGCTCACCGAGTTGGGATTGGAAGTGGGTCCACTGTTGTTTATGCAGTTGAAAGACTTGGTATGTATATACTGTACTGTACAATATTGCTTTCCTATTCGGTAACCCCTAGTTTTATGTAAATTAATTTTCCGAGCTAGCCCACTCTGCTTCTTTCTAGGGCAAAATCCTTCTTTCCTCTGGTTTTAGTATCTGCTGCGGTTTAAGTAAAATTCCAACCAGCATGGCAGGAACTTGTAAAATTCTTCATGTTGGGACACTGGAGAATACTTAATACAGCCCAGAGGGTTGAATGTTCAGTAGTTAAAGACACCTCTCTGGGTCAGCCCTGGTGGCTTGCCAATTCCCTCCCTTACTGGTTGTCAGTTGGATGGGTTTCATTTGTGCATCTGCTCCAGAGCTGGCTTCATAGACCATTGGGCACTTGAATCTCTGGGCCTTCCCCATCCTCCCAACTAGTGGAGGGGTAGTGGTAATGATGATGTGCGTGTTTCGAGTGATTCAATCATTTGTTTACATTGTTAAGAGAGTTCATTTGATGGTTTTGAGGCTTTGGTTTCATTGAACCAAACACTGGTCTGCCTGGTTTACAGACTTGCTAGATGTTTTCCTGGTGGGATGGTAGTGTCACCTACTTTCAGAGAATCTGTGAGGGGACCACATTTTGACTCTGGTCTCTAGTAGACCAAACAAAGCTTCCGCAACTGATATGATCAGAGATGTTTCATTATTTAACGTTGGGTGTTTAGCTTGGGAACATACGTGGCCTGGAACTGAGTAATTTTGGCTATATTTTCTGTTTAAAAATGGAGACAATTTTTCCCAACTGTTTTAATGCAACAGTTAACTTTTACCAACTTTAATAGTATAACTGGAAGGAGCAGGTCTTGTTCTTACTAGAAATGTAATATAAAAGCATATACAAAAATATTAGTTTTCCCAAGTTTTCTAACATCTTTAAAAAAAAATTTCTAGTGTGCTGCAGTGAAAGTGAGAGAGTTAAGTGCTACCAACCTACATCTTCCCACTCTCATCCTACTGGCACCATCCAAGCCTATCCCTCCTGCATCTTCCTACCACAACCACCTGCACCTTTCTACCACTACCACCTGCATCTTCCTACCACAACCACCTGCATCTTTCTACCACTACCACCTGCATCTTTCTACCACAACCACCTGCATCTTCCTACCACTACCACCTGCATCTTTCTACCACTACCACCTGCATCTTTCTACCACAACCACCTGCATCTTTCTACCACAACCACCTGCATCTTCCTACCATTTAGCACCCATGCTGTTCCTCTCCCTCTACTGTATGTCCATATTTATATGTATAATTTTGGTAAGAATATTAACTAGTATTTCTTACAGCTCAGCGTGTGCATAAAGAAGGTCTGAAGGTGCTGTGTGTTCCTACATCATTCCAAGCTAGACAACTGATAATTAATCATGATTTGGAGCTGTCAGATCTTGAGATTACACCTCAGGTTAGATATTTGTTCTGTTATTGTTTACTGGAGCATAGTAACTTGAAGCAAATCTACTCCATCCTGTGTGTGCTTTCATTTTGTTGTACTTTAACTGTACCACTTTTTACTTTAAGTTGTCTAGGTTTTCAGTTTTGGAAATAAAATTATGAAATAACTGTCAGTTTGTTTGGTGACTTGCTAAAACCTTTTAGTGTACCTACACTTTAAACCTCATAGTGAGCCTCCCTTCACCTCGTAGTGTGAGCCTCCCCTCACCTCGTAGTGTGAGCCTCCCCTCACCTCGTAGTGTGAGCCTCCCCTCACCTCGTAGTGTGAGCCTCCCCTCACCTCGTAGTGTGAGCCTCCCCTCACCTTATACAGTAAGCCACATTGTAATGTTGGCTCTAGGTAGGCAATGGGTGGGTCTTTGAGGTCTGGTGTTGACTAAGAAGCTTAGGGTAGCTGCTGGGGAAATGTCCACCGAAAAAGGGTACTTCATTATTGTCAACATGTGGTTATTTTCAGTTGGATGTGGCCATTGATGGTGCTGATGAAGCAGATGCTAAATTAACCCTTATTAAAGGGGGTGGTGGATGTCAGCTGCAAGAAAAAATTGTTGCTGCTGCAGCCAAACTCTTTATAGTAGTTGCTGATTACAGGTGAGAATACATTTGAATTTGATTATACACTATATTCAAAATATTATATAATGCATTGTGATGACCCATGTTTTTGGTGTTATGCTTGAAGGCGTGTGTATGCACTCACTTGTGCATGACATTAGAATTGCAAGAACACTAATCATTGTGTTTGTGAAATTACAAAATATTACAAATAAGTAATGCAAGGTAAATAGGTGAAATGACATCACTATTATCTTGTTGTATCTTGAGGTACTTTCAGGACTGTGAGTTTCTAGGAATGCATGCTAATATCACAAAATATATTTTTAAAATTAAATAATCTGAGGGTTGATGATGGATACTTACTTGAAAAACAATGTGCTGCATATTTGTAAATTGTTGATTTGTCACTTAGTCACTTCTGCCCTGTTCTGTAAGCCTTCTCTTGCTTTGTTTCACTTCTGGCCTGCTCATGTGCTACCTGAGCCATCCTGGTCCTTGGACAGGGTGCTCTCCTATCTCTCCACTCTTCGGTTTGTGGTGGCCTCTTCGGTTCAAGATTGTTTTCCATGGCTCTGTTTTTGTTGGCATTGGCCTCTGGGGATCGGGTCGATGAGCTTCGTGCTCTCCTCTGGCACGGGTTTCTGCTCTTTTTGGTTCTGGTGGTCGGTTTTTTCGGTTGCAGCCTTCTTCTTTTCTGGCAAAGAACGAGATGGCTGCTTTCCGGAGGGGTCCTTGAGTCGTTGATGCTTGGTTGGTCAGGCCTGGGGTGCATCATGTGTTGTTTCCGGTTGCGGCTCTTGTGTGTTATCTGTGCGCTTTGACTTCGGTGGCTGGGAAAGTGCTTTGGGTTGATCCGGTTTCCCTTCATTCCTTGTTCCAGGGCTCGGGTCTCCCAGGTCGTATGCAGGGTTATTAAGTCCAGCCAGCCTCTGATCTATCCTCGTGTCCATGACATTAGGAAGTTTGCTGCATTGGCTGCCATGTTTGGCAACATGTCTTGGGCTGATTTTTGAGCGCAGGGATTTTGGAGGCCAAACAGGGTCCTGGCCACCTGTTATTTGGATAACGTTCCTGCTCTTGGGCATTCCTGTATAGCATTGGATCGCAAGTTATAGCCAGTTGTCTCAACTTCGCATTGAGGAGTATGTGGCGGCTGCCTCCGGGTTAGTCCCTCTTTTCCTTACCTTTGGGTATGTAGCTCCAAGGAGCTGTAAGAGCTCCAGACAGAAAACTAGTGTTGAATGTAATGAAACGCCATTTTCTGTGTGAGCCCCAGAGACTCCCTCGCAACCCTCCCTCCCTCCAGTCGGCAGTTTTTCGCGTTGTTTGATGCTTACCTTCGAACTGGAGTGCTAGGTAGCCGGCGGGGGGAGGGGAGGACTGCGCGGATGAGCAGTGTGGCAGTCAAGTGCGACGTTTGCTAGTTTCCTTGGGATTCAAGGGAGTTCTGCCTCTCTTTTCGGTTTGTAATTTTCATTTGTAATTTTCTTAACATGTGGGGTTTGTTTTAGTTATGTCTACCTTTCTGGGTGCCTAACCCTAGTCGATGTCAGATAGGGAAAATGCCCAACCACAAGGAGGGTTATCCAGGGTCATTGCTCCCTAAAACCTCTCTGAGGGGGGGGGGCCAGGTTCTGGCTCGTGGTCCCCGGTAGGCTGAACTCCATAGACATGCCCTGGTCTAATATATCACACATTAGCCCAATACCTTCGAGGAGCCTTCGGGGCTCACACAGAAAATGGAGTTTCATTACATTTAATGCCGGTTTTTTTAATTATCAGGCCAGCTTGTGCTTCTCTGGTGCCAAATAGGTTGTTGGTTCAAGTATGTTAGTGCTTGTCGTTTTTTTCATGCCAGGGTGTCTTCACCACCGGGATTGTGACCTCAGGTCATGGAGTCAATAAGCTTGAGTCAATAGGCCCAGCATGAACAATGAGGTTCCTTATATTTTAGTGCTGTAATCATGTTTCCAGGCTTCATTCTTTGCCTGACTCTTGGTTAAATTTAATTTTGGGTATGAGGCTGGGGCTTATAGTGTATGAAGCATTGTTTGTGCAGCTGGGTGTCTTATCACATTGGATATTTCTTGTGGTTCACAAAGGGATCTTTTCCTGATGTCCTTTCACAGTACAGTACCATGCTTCCTTACCACTATGACTCAATTCTTTTGAATAATTAGCCAGGGAGTAACATTCAGTCAGCCAATAATATTCTCTAGAAAACGTGCCTCATGTACACACACACACCTGACAATGCTCCATGTCATCAAGTTAGAACCCAAAGCTTAAGGAGTTCTCACATAACAGTGGCAGTACAGTTCCTTCAGGATATGCCACATCATTATTGGCACTGATGTGGCATGTCCCCTGGTGGATGTCCAGGTCCTCTTGTCATGGTTACTACTGTCATGGGAAAGAACCTTATTATAAATAATGTAGCATTAGTCCTTCTTTGAGGTGCCAAGTGGAAGAAGACAATGAGATGTACCAAGGGGGGGGAAGGACCAGTCCAGAAATAGAGCATCATGTGTAATGAAGTGCCACTTTCTGGGCTTCAGTGACTACCCTTTCCCATCATTGTTTTCTATTTTCCCTGTGCTGGAAGGGAATGTTTGGTCTTGAGAGGTGGTTGCCTTCCCTGTATCTCCATATGTTTACCAAGCTGGTTATGACTGCATATACTATTTTAATGGGTTTCATTATACTTACCAAGTAGGTTATGACTGCATTAATTTGGGGTTTAAATAATGTACATATTTTGTTGGTGAACCAGTACACATTTTTACTTGTGGTATTTGCTGTACTACACAAACTCATTGCTTAATTGAGGATTGATTTACTAATACAGTACGTGAAAATATAATATAAAATCTCGTTTACCAGGAAGGACTCGACATCTCTAGGTGAACAATGGACAAAAGGAATTCCAATTGAAGTTGTTCCAATGGCATATCGTCCAGTTCAGCTAAAAATTGAGATGGAGCTCGGTGGAAGAGCTGTATTAAGACAGGCTAAAGCTAAAGCAGTAAGTTGCATATAATTATACAAAATTCATTGTTTACTCACCTAATTGTGCTTGCGGGGGCTGAGCTTTGGCTCTTTGGTCCTACCTCTCAACTGTCAATCAACTGGTGTACAGATTCCTGAGCCTACTGGGATCTATCATATCTACATTTGAAACTGTGTATGGAGTCAGCCTCCACCACATCACTTCCTAGTGCATTCCATTTATTAACTACTGTCACTGAAAAAATCTTTCTTACGTCTCTGTGGCTCATCTGGGTACTAAGTTTCCACCTGTGTCTCCTTGTTCGTGTCCCACCCGTGCTGAAGAGTTTGTCTTTATCCACCCTGTCAATTCCTCTGTGTGTGTGCATGATAGTGTAGAAATAAAGCACAGTAATCATTGGTACAACACTAGACAATGTGTGGACCGCTCATGTTCCATAGTTCCATATCATTGGGAGTGGATGAGTGGCATTACAACTTTTCTTGACAGGAGTTTGGATAACTCTCTGCTGTATTTGATTGATCCCATTTCTTTCAATGCTGTGAGGCTTCATCTAGCTAGTTGGGAGGAAGGAGAGGAGGGATAAATAAATGGGAAAAAATAAGATAAGGAGGGTGGGTGAAGTGAGTCATTTTGTGATAAAGCCATTTCAGATTTTCTGAAGTATGTAAAATGTCTTATGTTATAAGGTAGCAAAATATTTATTTTAAGACTACCACTGTTGCTTTAATCTTTTGAAATGTTAACTCAAAGGTGAACATTTTCAACTGGTCAATTCAGAGAGGTGAATATTTAATTTGCAAATGTAACAAAAGTTGTGTATGTTATTTAAAAAAAAATATCTTAATTTCAGGGTCCTGTTGTGACAGACAATGGGAACTTTATTTTGGACTGGGTGTTTGATAGGACCTTTGATTGGCAGAAAGTTAATCAACAGATTAAAATGATTCCTGGTAAGTAATTTCATTGTTTAAACAGTAACATTATTGCATTACTCTGATTGCCAGAAATGCACTCTGAATATTTTATTTAAAATCTATTGCAATAAACAAACATTAGCAAATTCTTTTAATTTTTTTTTAAATCTGATTTTACTAATGGCTCTTGTTTTAATAAATTTAACATTTTCTTTGTAGGTGTTGTAGAAACAGGCTTGTTTGTGGGAATGGCAAAGATTGCCTACTTTGGCATGGAAGATGGCTCCGTCAAGGATCGAGAAGTGTGAAAATTTCCATGCAGTTGTGCTTTTATTCATTTCAGTATAGTTAGCATACAATTGTTAGATTAGTTAATTCAGTACAGTATTAGCATCTCACCCTCTCATGAAGCTGTATTTCATGTATCCTTTCAATTTAGTAGATATATGGTCATTTTTTTCATAATATTGTGTATGTATCATATTAAGACATAACACTTTAAATATTTAATTTATTTGATTATACATATATTATATATATATATATATATATATATATATATATATATATATATATATATATATATATATATATATATATATATATATATATATATATATATATATATATATATATATATATATATATATATATATATATATATATATATATATATATATATATATATATATATATATATGTATATATATGTATATATATATATATATATATATATATATATATAATACACACATACACACATACTGTATATACTGTATATATTTACATTACACATACACACCATACATGTTTGTGTCTGGTAGCCTTGTCTAAGGATTCCCTGGTGACCACCTGGCCAGCCAGGCTGTTACTACTTGTGAGTGGGTCCATAGCATGCATACCTAAGACTAATCAAACCAGCAAACATATACTGTACTCATCATAACATACAAAATACTGGGATTGGACAATGTAGGGAATGAAATATATGAAATGGGAGATGAATGAGGAAGCAGAATCCCAAGGTAAATTAGCGGGATGTTTGAATTTTTGAAGGAATGTTTGAATGAAAAAATTCCAACATTTGTAAAACTAAATTAATAATATGCAACAGTGCTCTTGTGCCCTCGACAGAAGAAACATATCAAGGTTCAACGAGTGCATTATACTAAATAGGGTTACTAGAGCTGAACTATATGAGTATTGTAAATAAGTTTAGCAAAATTGAGCTGAATCCCATGGCAGAAAGAAAAGGGGGGTACATGATTACTATCAAATACACCAAGGAATAGGAAGAGATTTACAAGGAAGGTTTAATCACTATTGCCACAAGTAAAACTAAGAGTATATATTTAAGTTGCCAAAAATGCTAAAACGTCCAGGTGTAAAAAGTATTTGGTTCCTGATAGTTACAACCATCTGGAGTATGAGGGCAAGATGTGGTATGTGTTAACGATCTGCAAGAATATAAAAGCAAATAAGATACATTTAGATATTTTTCATCTCTGTTATGAACGGCAAATAAATATTATGTACTACAGTATAGTTGTAGCTCCAATTTATGTTTAGGGTTTCTAACCAAAATAAAAAAATTCATGCAGATTTTTTTTAATTGGATGTCCAGATTTCAGGTGTATAATTGTGATGGTAGCATGTAATAAAGTATAGTGTATGTGGTAGGTTATGCTTTGTGCAAACAATTCAGACTATGGAAAAAACACGAATAAAGGTGTATAATGGGAAACAAAGCATGATATAGGCATATAATGGGAAGCAAAACATGATATAGGCATATACAGTAATGGAAAAATAAAAAATAGGATGGGGAGCTTATTCATGTTTAAATTTTCACATGCAGAACATGCACGAATATATACTATGTGCAAAGCGCATCCAAAATCTAAATGTATATGATTTTTAGTTAGAATTATAGGGATGCATAAATTAGATTGAGTTATCCTGCAGTTTCACTAATCAATGAAAAGAACCATCAATGAGACGAATACTAGTGAAGTGCTCTCACACATCCAAGGTCTACCAGTATACTCTCTAACCATTGTGAAATGCTTTGTCATTTAGGATTTTTCAAAATGTGTTCCATTAGACATTTCAATTATTCTTTGTATTAAGTTTGGAATAACACTCATGGTGGCATTAGTACAGTATTAATAGTGCAATATCTTGTCGTTGTTTCAATACAAGAATAATAGTTGTCATGTGATTTGTTTTCAAGTCTTTACATAACTATGGTCATGCTCTGTATTTTGTTACATTAAATTTACATTGTCTAGAAGCTTTACAAAGCTTTAAAATTAAGCTGTAAAATGTGTTAGTCAAATTTAGGGTTGTTAAAATCTAAATCAAGTTACCGAATAGATTATCTATTATTAACTTTCCAAGGCAAGATCAAGTCTTCATAAAGGTTAGCTAGGCTTACTAATGAAACTTTAAAGGTAGAATGATCTACTGAAGTATAGTATACATAAACAATATTGAGATGGGAGGAGTAACATATCCTTTCATTTATGCCTGCTCTTGGAATTCCATCTGCCAGCCACCTTTTAATCTTCCTTTGGGCCACCTCTGCCTAATTTCTCTCTACCTACTACTGTACTTCCTAATCCCTCTGATCTGCCAATCCACCTCTGATCACTATCAGGCAAGCCCCCTCTGATCTCCCTATGACCATGTCCCTATCATCTCACTCGAGCATCCTCCATCTGGTAAACTAGTACATTATACTCTACTGCATATCAGGAAAATATACAAAAAACTGTAGAAAGATGTCCTATTTATTTTTCCCAGCTTAATATTTAATGCTAATAAATACTGTATTCAACAAATGTTCAGTTTCCTAAAATGTTTGCTCTTGGTGATAGGTCTGTTAATTATTGTATGTGATATAAAACTAGGTTTAGTACTACAAGCAAATAGGCCTTAATGTTACCACATTTGTTATATTTTCATATTTTTTGTTACCTGTATCCAGTTAACTAATTTGTGGCTTCTTCTAGGGAATAAAATATTTGGCTTGGTCATCATATAATTTAATTTACCCCATTATACCATTGAAAGTATTGGTGGTTACACAGCTGTAGAATTCTGTACAATATAATGTATATAAAATGATTGAAATTTTATGACAAGCTTTATGAATAGGACACATTGTTGTGCTCTATGATAAGACCCACTATGGCTGTTGACAAAGATCAGTATTAGTTAGGCCGCTCAACATTGACACTGATTATACAGGGAATATTTCAATTGGTCCCTCGGGGGTCATACTAGTGTCAAGGAGCATTCAAGAAACTTGATCGAATAAATGTATAACAAACTGAAGTAGCAAAGCGTCTCACGTCACTGAAAAAGGCTCTTACTGCATCACCTGTGCTGCCTCTGCATTACTATTCACCTCCCTTCATGATTTTATTCACTTTATTTTATTGCACATGATTATATGTAGTCCATCTTATAGAAAGTATGAAAAATCACAAATATCGAATTTTTATTTATATATACAAGACTTCTTACATTCTTGTAAAACCATTAGCACGCATAGCGTTGCAGGCAGGTCCTTAATCCTAATTTTCCCTAGAATGCGACCTGCTATAACATGTTTAACAACCATATACCTATTCACTGCTGAGTGAACAGAGGCTACAGTTAAGGATTGGCGCCCAGTCAATTCTCCCCGGCCAGGCTACGAACCCAAGCCCAAGCGCTCGCGAAGTGCTGGGCGAGTGTCTTACCACTGCGCCACGGGGACCAAATATTGTAATGACAAATGAGGGAGGGAAGTCACAGGGTAAGGGAGGAACAAGTGTAGGGTGAAGGAAGGAATAGAGATGGGTGAGGGAGGGATGTCGCAAAATAAGGAAGGGGGGGGGGAGAATGGTGAGGGAGGGGAAGCACGTGGTGAGGGAGAGGGAGCACGTGGTGAGGGAGGGGGAGCAAGAGGTGAGGGAGGGGGAGAACGAGGTGAGGGAGAGGGAGGCAGGGGGTGAGGGACGCGGAGGGAGAGCCAGGAAGCGTGTGTGTGTGTGTGTGTAGGGAGCAGTGTTGCCAGATTGGGCTACAAATAGCGAATTGGGCTACTTTTGAGAGCCCCGCGCTCCCAAATTTTTAATTTCGCTACTTACTACGTTTTGGGCTAATTTAAAAGCAAGATGTGCTAATTTGGCCTATTAATGTTAAGAATGTACGATTGCGAGTTACATGAAAGTAACTAAGCTATAAATAATTGTAATTAATAATAATTGTAAATATTAATTAATACTAAATAATATTATTTAATAAATTAGTTCCTATTCAATGCAGAGTTTTCGTCCAAGCACAGAAACTTGTAAATATAAATACAAGATAATAAATAGATCGATAAATAAACAGACAACTTTCAAATATTGCACAAAGTAATGGCGAGAGGAAAAAAACTAGACAGTATACATTACATTTGAAATTAATAATGGATGAATGGTAATAAATTGGTGTATGTTTGTATGTATACCAGACAAAGTCCATTTAATGGCAAAATTTAGCCATTTTGTGTAAAAACTTTTATATCTCATATTATTAATTATAACAGTAATCGAAAAAAGTCATAGTTTGTATATACAAGAGATGAAACAGCGAGCCATGAGCTAGAGCGATGTGCTGAGTCCATAAGGAGGCCGAGCTTCCTGAAATACCTTCCTGTGATTGGCTGTTGCGGGGAATACCAACACTCTTTTATGAATAAAATTTAAACTAAGAAATAGGTCCTTGTGCATAACAACAAGGTTGTTGTGAAAAAGAACAAGTTCTGTTTTACACCTGACAGAAATCTCCATCTAACTGAATAATTTACTCGAATAAGAGGGCAGAGCAGTGTATCATTATTTGTGTCAAGGCAACCCCCAATAATAACGTCTCAAGTTAGGTAGCCAGCCCATTTTATACAACATCTGTTATATCCTGCAATATTTAATTAACACTTCACTTTTTTGGGTAAATTAAAGTTAAAGCAGAATTCCATAAGCAGGACTGGTGGGCTGAACTAAGATGATTTACTAAGTGGATGGCACCTATAGCTGATCCCTTCCTGTGATTGGCTGTTGTGGGGAATGCCAACGCTTACATGAATAAAATGCAAAACAAGATATACGTCCTTTTGCTCAATAACCTTGTTGTTGTTGTACAAAAGAACAACAATTTCTGTTTTATACAAGACAGAAATTTCCATCTAACTGAATAATGTAGACCAATAAGAGGGCGGAGGCATTGTATCGCCGATATTATTTGTGTGAGGCAACACCCACAGATGACGTCACAAGTTTGGTAGCCAGCCCATGTTTCTGTAACACTCGTTACATCCTGCAGTATTTAATTATCACTATATTAATACTTTTAAATACTTAACATTTCACTTTTTAGGTAGATTAAAGTTGAAGCAGAATGTCATAAGCAAGGATGGTGTACTGAATAAAGATAATTTATTAAATGGATGGAGCCTTTAGCTGATCCCTTCCTGTGATTGGCTGTTGTGTGAATGTCAACAAAGAGTTTCTACCAATGATA